CGGTCAACTCGGTCCACTACCCTGGTCAACTCGTCAACTCGGTCCACTCGGTCCACTACCTCGGTCAACTCGTCAACTACGGTCAACTCGGTCAACTCGATCAACTCGGTCAACTCGGTCAACTCGGTCAACTCGGTCAACTCGGTCAACTCGGTCAACTACCCTGGTCAACTCGGTCAACTCGGTCAACTCGGTCCACTACCCTGGTCAACTCGATCAACTCGGTCAACTACTGGTCAACTCGATCAACTCGGTCAACTCGGTCCACTACCCTGGTCAACTCGATCAACTCGGTCAACTCGGTCTAACTCGGTCAACTCGTTTCACTACCCTGGTCAACTCGGTCAACTCGGTCAACTCGGTCAACTCGATCAACTCGGTCCACTACCCTGGTCAACTCGGTCAACTCGGTCAACTCGGTCAACTCAGTCAACTCGGTTCACTACCCTGGTCAACTCGGTCAACTCGGTCAACTCGGTCAACTCGGTCAACTCGGTCAACTCGGTCAACTCGGTCAACTCGGTCAACTCGGTCAACTCGGTCAACTCGGTCAACTCGGTCAACTCGGTCAACTCGGTCAACTCGGTCAACTCGGTCAACTCGGTCAACTCGGTCAACTCGGTCAACTCGGTCAACTCGGTCAACTCGGTCAACTCGGTCAACTCGGTCAACTCGGTCAACTCGGTCAACTCGGTCAACTCGGTCAACTCGGTCAACTCGGTCAACTCGGTCAACTCGGTCAACTCGGTCAACTCGGTCAACTCGGTCAACTCGGTCAACTCGGTCAACTCGGTCAACTCGGTCAACTCGGTCAACTCGGTCAACTCGGTCAACTCGGTCAACTCGGTCAACTCGGTCAACTCGGTCAACTCGGTCAACTCGGTCAACTCGGTCAACTCGGTCAACTCGGTCAACTCGGTCAACTCGGTCAACTCGGTCAACTCGGTCAACTCGGTCAACTCGGTCAACTCGGTCAACTCGGTCAACTCGGTCAACTCGGTCAACTCGGTCAACTCGGTCAACTCGGTCAACTCGGTCAACTCGGTCAACTCGGTCAACTCGGTCAACTCGGTCAACTCGATCAACTCGGTCAACTCGGTCAACTCGGTCAACTCGGTCAACTCGGTCAACTCGATCAACTCGGTCAACTCGGTCCACTACCCTGGTCAACTCGATCAACTCGATCAATTCGGTCAACTCGGTCCACTACCCTGGTCAACTCGGTCAACTCGGTCAACTCGGTCCACTACCCTGGTCAACTCGATCAACTCGGTCAACTCGGTCCACTACCCTGGTCAACTCGATCAACTCGGTCAACTCGGTCCTCTACCCTGGTCAACTCGATCAACTCGGTCAACTCGGTCAACTAGGTCAACTCGATCAACTCGGTCAACTGGGTCCACTACCCTGGTCAACTCGGTCAACTCGGTCAACTCGATCAACTCGGTCAACTCGATCAACTCGGTCAACTCGATCAACTCGGTCCACTACCCTGGTCAACTCGGTCAACTCGATCAATTCGGTCAACTCGGTCCACTACCCTGGTCAACTCGATCAACTCGATCAACTCGGTCCACTACCCTGGTCAACTCGATCAACTCGGTCAACTCGGTCCACTACCCTGGTCAACTCGATCAACTCGGTCAACTCGGTCCTCTACCCTGGTCAACTCGATCAACTCGGTCAACTCGGTCAACTAGGTCAACTCGATCAACTCGATCAACTCGGTCCACTAGCCTGGTCAACTCGGTCAACTCGGTCAACTACCCTGGTCAACTCGGTCAACTCGGTCAACTCGGTCAACTCGGTCAACCTCGGTCAACTCGGCAACTCGGTCCACTACCCTGGTCAACTCGGTCAACTCGGTCAACTACCCTGGTCAACTCGGTCAACTCGGTCAACTCGGTCAACTCGATCAACTCGATCAACTCGGTCCAATACCCTGGTCAACTCGGTCAACTCGGTCAACTCGGTCCACTACCTGGTCAACTCGGTCAACTCGGTCCACTACCCTGGTCAACTCGATCAACTCGGTCAACTCGGTCCACTACCCTGGTCAACTCGGTCAACTCGGTCAACTCTATTTATAATACAAAAAAAACTATTCTTCTTCTAACTCCCCAAAACCCACAAATTTTAGAAAAGGTGGGACATAACGTCTTCCATGGTTTACAAAAGAGAAGTCAAACCCTTCAGACATAATTTTAGGCATAGCATTATAGTTTTAGACAATTAGATTTCGTTATGTACATTTTAAAGTATTTTATACCCTGCAAGTTACAAATATAAAAAGAGCTCTGAAACAATTAGCCTTCGGGCATAGATTTGCAATAAACTTCTCTATATCAGGATTAGTGATACTAGTATGGTACAAAAATGCCAATGTGAAGGCACATCATTGATTTACCTTGAACAGTTGAAGATTTTTCTTCCTTTCGGGAGGCTTTCTGTCTCCATGGAGGCAAACACAAGAGAACTGGTGGCCTGCACTATTGGGTCCTGTCAGGGGAAAATACCAGGGGTTTTTAATGTTATCAAACTTGATGTTTATACAAAATACAAAATTAAGTTCTGTAATTGAGTCTATTATAATAACTCTTTAAAGAAATATTGCTGAGAAAACAAGGCGAGTCCCCAGAAACATGATTCTTCTTTGAATTTTGTGGAGTTATTGGAAGATTGAACAGAAATATTTGACACTCTTGTCCAGCACTATTTTCTACATTCAAGTACCAACAAAGTAAAAACTAGAATAAAGTAGCATTAAAATTTTGCAAAGCAATAATGCAATTACCTTCGCATATGCATGGTCTGCCCTGTTAATTCTTAGTCTAAACACATTCATATCATGGTCTGACAGGAGTCTAAATCCCTCCTGCTTTAAAATTGCAATAAAATGATGTAACCCAACACTAGTTACTATGGTGACAGATGTCTGATTTAGGTCATTGACCTTATTTTTTTTTGGAGAAGAAGAGGAAACAGTCTGCAAAAACAATATGTTTTCCTTCGGTAAACAGAAAAAAAGTACAAAACAAAATGTCTAACCTCCTCCCATCCTGATAAAGTATCTCTCCATGTTGTCACAGTCCAGTTTGGTACGACAGAAGATGATGCCCATGTCCATCTTGTGTTCCTTGATGACCCTGACAGTGTACTCTCCCTTCAGGATCGTTCACTGCCTCTGACAGGTCTCTGGATGGATGGAAGTGAAATGAAAAGATGGATCTCAGTTCAGTTTTGCCTATTGAAAACATGATCTTAAATTGGCTGTGACAACAGCAGGTGTCATGTACATGTACAGCTTCCATGAGTTAGGCCTTGGGATATTTCTATACTGTAATTCAATTTATGTTCACGGTAGCAAAATTTCACAGTCTGAGACACGGAAAAATGGAAATGGAACTATATATTCATGGTGGCAACAGGTGCAGAAAAAAGAAAGTCCAGCAATTATTTGTTAACTGTATTGATAAGTTCACAGTACAGATTCTGAAGTGACATTTAAACTGTGAACATAACAGTACAGTGAGAGAATCAGGAATTACAGTAGCTCTTTGTAACATCTGGGATTTTTCAGAAAAAAAGTGACTTACAAGAGCAAGCTGACATGAATGTTCTAGAATGGACAAAAGGACAAATTTTAAAAAGGACTCAAACATTAAACTACATAGAGTGGCTTGGAGGGACATCAAGTTACAATGCATAAATGGACAATGAAGCAGTTGTACCAGGAGTGTTGTTCCCGGGATGCACGTTGTCTTTATGGTGGATGCCGTCTGTCTCCACATGGTTCCTCCCACAGTGCTGCCAGTAAGTGTCCCTCACTGGGTCAACTTTCGTCACCTGGAACATGCCAAGTAGGTAAAACTTAATAATCCCCAATCCTCTATACACTTCTGTTCACAAGATGCATTCACATATAAAAGACATTACAAGCATTTTCTTTGCCAGTTTTGGGAAAATAATGCTGAATTATGTTTACATGGCATGACAGACAAAAGTTATGTCACCAACAGAAATTGAATGATGTTCTCTGTTACAGTACCAACTTCCAAAGGACAGGAAAATAATGTACAATATATCTACATATTCAAAGACTGATTCACATATATACATGACAAATATTACTTTTGAGTACTCACTCACGTCAAACCTGTTTATAGTCACCACTCAAGGGAGTGGTCACAATAGTTGACAATACTGCAGCCAGGACTTTTTATGCTTTGGAAAACATTATCTACGGGGCCATGAATAAGTGCCACAGTGTGTGATCCTTATGCAAGATACTATATGATTGACTGAGGTTACTTTTACAGTTCCAGACAGCTTATAATGTACTTACCACAGCATGCACAGTTTCAGGTACACTATCCTCCCCCTTCAGGTCCACCCACACTGGGAAATACATCAGCTTTTCCTGTAGGAACAGTCAATTTGTGTGACACACATATCCAAGCTCTTTGGGCTCTCTGGCATGATACAAGAGATTGAAAAAATTGATGAATGAGAAAAAAATCCCTTTCTGTACATCTAGGAATTGTTAAAGTGAACATGATGTATAAACTAGAGAAGTAACATTTGCAAGGCAAATGCATAATGTTAACCTTCGGAGATGGTCTGCTCTGTTAATTCTTACTCAAATACATTCACATACAAATGTAGTTAATTACATGCATGTACAATGTACTTGTCTACTAGTATATGGTGACAGGAGCAGAGCAGACCATGACAATGCAACATGATGTAACCCAACGCCAGACGTCAACAAATCATATCATTGGTCAGGTCATAGGGGACTGTTTGGAGAAGAAGAAGAGGAAGAAACTGAGCAAAAATAATGTTTTCCTTCATAATTATCGGTATGTACAATGTATGTATACTTACAGCCATCTTTTTCACATCAAAGGAATGCAGGGTTGCAGAGCACACAATCATCTGCAAGGAACAAACAAAGAAAACATGCCAAAGTTAGAACCTTTCCTTCCAGTAGACAAAAGCAATATTTGACAACTTATCAGGTTCTACATTGGTGAATACAGTAAAATTTATATTATGCCTTTCTCCAGATACAGGCATGTGGTTAAGCTGACAACACGAGTACATTGTATTTCCATCAAACATCTTGACATATATACACAGGCCTTGAAATGTCAACGACAACGTGTTATTTTATGGTACAGTTGTTACACTATATAACTACAACGTATCAAGTCTTCTGATTTTACCTGGAGCCTTTTTCCATCTGCGAACACCTTAGTCATGGAGTCATGCAAGCGCTGGATAAACTGGCCATAACCTGCAGAGAGGAGGCCATCCTGAAAATAAAAACACATTTATTACTGTTACAGGTTTTCAGCAAATGTTACATTTTTCAGGAGTTAAGCATCATAATTGCACACAGATAGAATTTAAATATTTGTATATAATAAAGGGTACTTACACATTCATCCAGTACAAAGAATCGCACCTGAGAGAAAAAAAACGACTAGACGTAAGTTCATTGTCAATTCCACATCTACCAGCATTTACTTGGTACATGCACCAGTATTTCAAACAAATAATGAAGATTTAGAATCACACCTGAGAGAAAACAACAAAAATTAGTACTCATTGTCAATTCCACATTGAATTTATGGATTTACTTGGTACCAGTATTTCAAACAAATAATGAAGACTTACTATATGCCAACTGCTACAAAAAGCATAATTAATTGAAACTGTACTAAACCCAACTCAATACAACAGCACTGTTTCATCATCATCATCATCATCATCATTCATCCTCCGAAGAGGTGGAGTGGACAAAGTTTGATCTCCAGAACTGTTTGTCATTCATTGCTGAAATAAGTTCCAGGCCCTACAAGCCTGTTTCAGTTTCTATAAAGTATAAGTCTCTTAAGTGTTATGTTTGGACATCCAATTCTTCTCTTCGTATCAGGGTTCCAGAGTAGAAGCCTACTGGCTGGTTCTTTACTACGTACAACATGACTGACCAAGCTTAGTCATTAACAATTTACATTTGTATGTCACTACAGCACTGTTTCAGCAGATATAAATCACATCGTTGTTAAGTTCCCAACAGTTTGTTGTGGGTTGTGCCTACTTGTGAGAGGAGCAGCTTGCCGGTGGAGATGAGTTCCTCTAGCCGACCAGGTGTCCCCACCACAATGTCCACCTGGACAGGGAGGGCAAAGACTCCGTGTGAGAAAATCACCACAGAATGGTTCATCATCATTATCATCATTGGTTACTACAGTGGTAGAAATACTTTTTTTAGTGTGCTGCAATATTGCAGAAAGTCAAAATTTTGTTCTGCAATTCGGACATATTTACTGCACATATACACTTAAAAGTCATGACATAAACCCATGGCATATGCAAAATTTCATGGTGGCGAAACATTTTCATGTAATTTTTTGACAAATATATTATAGAGTCAAAACACAAAAGCTCTTAAACACCATTGAACCCCTAGCCTGATTTTTTTCAGTCTGCAAAATTGCAGATTGCTTAATTTTTCTTCTGTAATATTGAAAATGTCTGTGCAAAATGCAGACTACAGATGGGTATTTCTAACAACACTGTTATAAGGAACAAAAGTCAGCTTTACAGTAGAAAAACTGATTGTACCAACTTGTACAATACAACGAATTGAATCGAATATATGACTAAATTGGCTTAGGATAAAAGACAGCATGTGGAATACTCTTTTAAAGCAAGCAACTGAATGTCATTCACGAAACCAATTTGTGTAAAAAAAAAATTATGCTGTTTCTTGGGAAACTTACACCATTGTCCAAGGTTTGTAGTTGGTCTTTTACAGGTACACCTCCGATAATGAGAAGTTCTCTAAATTCAGAATGGGAAAAGAAACAATTACATTTCATAAATCCAAGACAGTGCACAAAATATCATTTCGATTTTATCTAACGGTAATAACCAATATACTGCTGGTTAAACCATGAAGTAAAAATATTGCAATGAAAATCAATTATAGTAACTATTACTTACTATTACTAATTATAGAGATATGAAAGTTTATGCCTACCTTATATATGGATCGTTGATGTGTTTTTTAAACATCTTGACATTGTTCAGTGTCTAGGATAGACAAAGAAACCAGTTATTACATGCCATCATCATTTTGGACAGGATATCTGGACTAAATTCACGTTCTCTCCAAGAGTTCCTATCTTCCATGATATTAATGTACATCAATTATATTACAAAAAAAGAGTAGGATGTCAACAAAGAAGCTTTGAAAACGCTTAATGTACCTGTTCTGCAAGCTCTCTGGAGGGCTGTAATGTAAGAAAAATGAAATAAAAATGACAAACATGTATCACACATAGTAATCAGATAAAACACTACTGCAAGATGATCAGACAGAAAACACTATCATACTATTCATCAAATCTTAATTCTGATTTTCTACAAATTTACTAGCAAAAGTACCAAACAGCATGATTTTGACTATGCACTAAGTGTCAACAAAGTCATGGAATGCACATGTTTTACCTCAATAAGGCTGTAGTACTGACCTCAATGATCAGGGCCTTTGGAGCATTGGGCTGTGGTTTACTGTGAGATGATGCAACACCACCTGTTGTGGGCATATCAAGTATAAGACAAACATATAGCTTACAGTTGCTGATACTATCATAATGAGAAAGACCTTATTATATAAGACCTTCAGATATTCTTGACTTCTTGCCAAGCCTCTCTCACAAGAACAAGGAAAAGTGGCTTAAAGCTAAAAAAAGATCGCTATTCCTCAAGACATTAACTGTCATTTCTTTCAATTCATTTGTCATTTGTTTAAAAAAAAATGTTTTTACTACGTTCAGTCGCAGCAGAAATGTAGTTCACAAGAAAGCAACTGTATTATTTCATATCAATTTCATTTCATCTCAATTTACGTATACTACTGTTTCATTATTGTTATTGTATCATTTTGCCCATGTTTGAATTATTTCCATAACATTTCCTTATGTACGTATGTATGCTTTATTTCAATTCAATCATGTTTAGATTTGGTTAGTATAGAGGAGGAGGGCTTAGCATAAGCTAAATAAGCTTTTTTCCCTCCTCCTGCACCTGTTTTATCCATTATTAATGTATTATGTATAATTTTTATTGCTGGTGTGCAAATAAAGAAACAAACTGCAATGCCACAATGCAGCTACATGTAGTACAAAAGCTGGCTTGTTAGATCTTGCCAAGGTGTACATGTAAGCCTGCCTATATACAATGTATGCTGTTTGCCAATACTACACGTACCCTGCAACAAATCTCATAATACCGGTATGACACAATTTAGCCTTGGCATGTAAGACAGCCACCTATAAGTACAAGCACTAATTAGGGCACAGTAAGCAAATGACAACAAGAATCGCTAACCCTTGGCTTCACCACCAGCTGTAAAGTTTAACAAGAGACAGAATTAAAAGTCTGATTAACAAGTAACCCATCTTGATTCAGACTGTCTAAGATACTTTCAATATAGTGGACAGAACAAAACTTGAAAAATGAGTACCAGAAACATTTTTGCCACTACCTGTAATAAAATAGTTATTTTGGTTGTAATGTTTTTTTGGTAAAGTCTTTTGTAAACATTTTGCGCCTATGTAAACATGATATTATAATTATGTTTACCGAAGGAAAACATATATTGTTTTTTCTTCTGTTCCAAACATTGACCGCTGACCTTGCTGATTTGCTGACATCTCTCACCATGGTAAATGGTGTTGGGTTACATAATGTTGCAATTTTATAGTAGAAGGGATTTAGACTCCTGTCTGACCATATACATGAATGTATTTGAGTGAGAATTAACAGAGCAGACCCAATGCAAAGGTAAACATTATGCATTTGCTTTGCAAATATTACCTTTCTAGTAACAATTTGTACTTGATTAAAAGAATCCTTAAAGAAGTAAGAAAACCCTCAGAAATACCTGTGTTAGCTGACTTGACCACACAATCTTGGGGTGCTCTGGCCAGGGCTACATAGTTGCCTTGGGGAGGGTGGTTGAAGGCAGTGTCTCCAAAGTTGAACTGCATTTCTCCATTCTACAACAGGGAGATTCAAGACAGACTTTCAAAATCTAATATGGACTGACACTTACATGCACAGCTAGTGTATGTGTTATGTTACACCTAATGGAGTTTATACCTGCAGTTATACAAATACAGATTATTTATCTAGTAGCAGTCAGTATCACATCTAAACTACAGTGTACACTTGTGTGACACTTATGCCATAATGATAGATTATAGGATAGTCTCCCTTACCTTAAGCACCACAGCTGCAAATATGGGCTGCTTCCTCAGGTGGCCAGGGATCTCAAATGCAGGGCCAAGATCGTTTCCTATAAGAGAAACATCACAGGCTGAAAATAGTGACCTAGCTGTAACTTAAGTGAAGGTGTTTCTCATCAGCTTACAAAACAACACTAGTAGCTACTTCAATCTTAACCACAGTACACTAAAGGTAATAATTTTATTAAAATTGTCTTGAACATGGACATAAGTCCAATAATATATTTATCAATCTGGACAACATTAACAATTATCATTTAGGTAAATGTCTACAAACTGTACAAAGATTTTACCATTCTTGGAGAAGCTGATAGTTGCGTTGTCCAGGTCCAAGTGACAGCCAATGGTGTCATTCTTACCAAAAGGCTGCAGAACAAATGCAAACAGTAAGGGTATACATGTACATCAGTACTTGGTGACAGAATCATACTATTGAATAGTGATCAAAGACAAGACCATGCTATCAGAAAATCACATAAATCTAAATGTAGGAAAGCATCAAGTACTGTAAAGAAACAATATTTGCATGGCAAATCTGTATGTAAACTGGTGACACTGTGATGGCCATATACAGTAATATAAACTTTTGAAACTCAAAGATGATACTTCGTATGTATAATATACATGTATATGTTAAACAAGAAACAATATTTGCATGGCAAATCTGTATGTAAACTGGTGACACTGTGATGGCCATATAATATAAACTTTTGAAAGATGATACTTCGTATGTATAATATACATGTATATGTTTTCCATTACCTCTCCATAGGTGTCAAACTGTCGACCAAACGACTTCTTCCCAGTTCCACCAAAGCCAAAACCGTTTTTGTCCGTGCCTGCAATAGATATAAAAGAAACAGTTCTCCACAAGCTTTGCCTTATAAATGTACTAAGTTTAGATGGTGGCATTGCTGTGATTATTTACAGGTGAATGATACAAAAAAAGGATTTCATTAATACAAAGCTACAGTGTAACAATGTATAGATGCAATAGAGATGAACTCGTACCTAGGTCCAGGCTTGCCTTGGAAGTAGAAAATCCCACTCTGCACAAGCCTTCATCAGTTACTGTAGCTTCATAGTAGTACTTTCCTAAAAAAAGTAAAGAAAGGTAAATCACCTCTTAGATAACACTTCACCTCTTAGATAACACTTTAACTCTAATTGCTAAATCTTATTCAGCAATTAACGACCTAAGACCTAGAAAATATTGTGTTTCCTCTTTCCCGACCGACCCTAGAAAAACCTTCTAACCCTACACTTTTTTTGGGTGGACTCCTGCAAGGGACATAAATAAATGAAATTTTTCAACTTTTTCTAGCTCTATGATCTGACACCTGAGTGATTAAACATTGACATTGAAAATTAATGTGTCCTCATGCAAGTTTTACTTTGTTAAACTGTCATATATAGGTTGGACCCCCATATAGATATCACTGAAGTCTAAAAAAAAGAAAAGGAAAAAAAGATAATCCCTAGATACCTACCGACCCTTGATATCATGTAGCCCAAGCTCTTAACAAATAATTTTACACAAAAAAAAAACCTTGTTTGATGTCACACCTTTGTTGACCACACCCTTGGTTGACCGCCCTCCATGCCACTCCTTCTGTTCACGACACTGGACCAACAGTCCATCCGGGCTGACCGCCAGGGAGGGACCCCGGTCATACGGGTTGATCTGCCATTTACTGATAGCTGTAGGCATCACAACATGGAAATACATGTATTGTGTAAGTATTGGAAATGTTAGGGCATTACAGGCTATCATTTCTTATGACTCCCAGCACTATTGACTGATTGTGGATGTTCATCAAAATAATCCCTTGAACTTCAAGAGAGGCTGCACTTTTCTCCTTTTTAAGAATTTTTCTTTACCATTATGTCACAAAACTCAAAACATTCAAAATGTTGTATAGACAGTTACATACTATATACTGGCATTTACGGCTATGTAAGATCTAAAAAGACTCATAACTATATTGAACTGTACAAAACCTACTAGCAGAAACTCCAGCTTTCCTGATCTTTGGATTTTGTTCATCCTTCAAAGTCTCCTGTACAATCTGGATGATTGGTATGGAGAAAGCCTGGAGGAATGGAAATGCACTTATTAATACTATGGACAACAGTGAAAGATTTTCACCTTGTATTAAATATAAGAATAATTGCATTGTAATGATGACAATGTGTGTAAACAAGATACACAAATTTCTTTTACTGAAAACACAAAAAAAAACATTGAAAAAGCTTACTCCAGTTTTGCCACTGCCAGTCTCTGCTGCCTGTAACCAACAAGATGATAAAGTTAACTAGCAGTTCATAACACTAAATTATTCAAACTGTAAGATAATGCTGCATGGGAGTGGACAGGGATGTGAATCAGCATGTGTCTACTCAGTTGTGAATCTGTACAATTTCCACAATGTGCTTTCTTGGAATTTCACTACGTAGGAATGTGGGCATAGATGTGTGTCAGCAAAATCCCAGAGATGTGAGACATTCCTGTGGACATTCCATAAATATAAAAAGCCTGTACAATTCCTAGAATTCTTGCAAACTGCACACAATACTGTACGATTAGGCTACCCCCCTGAGGCGTTGCCAAAAATGGCTCTATCTGAGAACAAGCTTTACTGTTCATATAAAATTACACAACATTTACTATCACAGGCATAGAACATTTACATGTACATCAAACTTATAAGACCAGGCATGCCTACCATCAGAATGTCACCCCCTCCTAAGATGAGAGGAATGGACTCTGCCTGGATATCTGTTGGGAGCCTGTTGGATGATAGAAAATTTACATGGTTATGTAAAAACAAGGTAATGTTATAACTTATTGCCTCCGGGGGAGGAGACATCCTTCCGCGGAAGGGCTTTGTGAGAGTTTTAGAATTTCACGTTCGCAGCGATTCCTCGCGTTTGAGTGGACGGATTCTTTTGAGACTCGGTATATGTTTTGCTATCGGGCTGCAGATGATGCACGTTCTTTTGTTTTTATTGTATATGTGTTTTCGGGCGTGTTGTATATGTGTTTTCGGGCGTGAAAATGGAGCCTTTTGATGGCCCCAGAACACCCCTTGAGTGAGAAAGGGGGTCGCGACCGTCGATCTTTTGCGTGTGTCAGATATAGTCGGTCTCGTCCACAGTCGCACAGAGGGGTGACGGGTATCAATAAATTCTTAGTCTTGCGGCGCGCAACAATTGTTGTTGTGCACATACATCTTCTGTATGCGAGGCGCAACAAATGTTGTTTGGAGGGTATTTTTAGTACGCGTTCACAGGACGCGTGATCGGCAGCAACTTCCGGGTTGGTCAATGGGTCAGGGGTCAACGTACTCTTGCGCAATCTTTGTTTTGGATGTTTTCGGCGTATATTACGACTACTAACTTACAAATACCGCGGCGTGCATTTTTACCGAGGATTCAGACCTTTACTTCCCCGATTTATACGAAGAATTGGCGGAAAATGGAGGAAGTGACAATAAGGATGGCTTGCTACTTCAGCCGTTATTTTTAACGTCTGATTTAACGGTTCCGGTTGTCATTCTGAGTTTCATTACGAGTTCATTGCGGCAGATTAAATAGAATTTCATAAGTTCATGGGTACATGTTATGGGCTGCAGATGAAAATGTTGACCTGTGTTAACACAACCAGGAACGCTAAACACATAAAATTCAACACCATCAACTATACATAACAAACAACATATAGAAATATACAATAAAAAGCCCAGAGGTATAAAATCTCAGATTTTACTTGTTTATAGAGCTATTTAAAGCTCCTTGGTAAAAAGTAGAAAATCCTTATCAATAAGCTATGAAGCCTTCAGAATTGTTATGATGTATTTGCTTTAGTACAATTTCTTTTTCTTTGACAAACTATAGGGTACATACTCTTGACAGACACCAGAATTTACCTTTCATTCTTGTGTTTCTGGAGAATTTCATGCACTCAAATTACACACAAAGAGACTTCTAAAGCTTCCTAATGCTAATACATAATTTAGACTATAAAAAGTTTCCGCACTGCACCAAATATTTCCCAGGTACTTCAATCAATCAATCAATCAATCAATCAAACTGGTTTATTAGTTAAAAAGGCATTGCAGCCAAGGGCTGAATTATGCCTTCTGTACATGTACATGTACATTAAAATCACATTAAAAAGCGTTAACAGTACAATGTTAAAAACATTAAAATACAACTTAATTTAATAAGTTACTACTCTACTCTCATAACACAGTTCTATACAGAACTATTACATTTGCTTATGTCTTGTTTGCATGAGTAAGCCATTCTCGACTTCTTACAATTCATTTATAATTGTACAACTCAAGGAGCTTCTATTCGTCCTTGTATAATAGTATGATTTGTAATACTTACAGCCAGTCCATCTCCTCCACAGCCTTGGAGATCTCGGGCATAACGCCCATTTCTGTAATATTAAATAATAAAGCAAAATCGTCAACATATATACAATGACATCACAAGCAGTTGTGCCTGATGATAACCTACTGAAATGCACAATGGTTCATTTTATTTATTTTTTCTTCTTCTTCTTTTGACGAGAATAGCAAAACCTGACAGTACATTCGCATGCAATTTCCCCATCCGGGTTGGCCACATGTACAACTACAAGGCAGATGCTTAGTAGTACGTCCCGCTATGCACGGAAATTAGCTCGACATGTCATTTCTATGCGACGCATTCATGTCAAAATATTCTGACAAAGCCCTGAATTGCTGCGTCACAGATGACACCTTTCGTGATGCCAACTTTCAGAGAGGAAACGGAGAATTGCTATTTTTTTCACGATAATCCTGAGCACTCACCCTCGAAGGCAGCCATCTTGACAGTTGTAACAATAGCATCAGATTTGTACAACCAAATATGACTTTGCTTTTTGTCTGGTATCAAAATTGATATAAATTCATTCTTATAGCAGACAATACAAAGAATTTTAATTCCATTCTTTTATTTCAAAGAAAATAGAGGAATTGGTGGGTAAAAGTCTTTGTGATCTGTGAGTTTTTATTTGAGCCTTAGTGTGCAGAATGTGGGGCTATATTCTATCCACTACTGAATGTTTGACCTATGACCCATTGCATGTGTACGAAAGTTTCATCACTGATCATATCAGACTCCTGTAAAAACACGTTCAGCAGAATGTTCTGGTAACGTCCAAGCGTCTGGTTGATCAAAAACCAGTTTTACCAGCAATGTGACAGCACAAGGGAGTCAGGAATGTTCGGTTCGGCTGCGGAGTTTGTCAGGAGTCGGAGGAGTAGCGTGGACGGGCCGGTTCGAACAACATCAGCGGCGGCGGGGCAAAGTCAAGATCACCATGCCCGGGAACTTTCGCAACGTTCCACGTACAGCGGCTTCAGTTTTGACGCTGATTCGGCTCGTTCTCTGGCCGACTTCGACGGTGAGAAACATGTTTGGCCTATCTTTTACAGAGTTTTACCACGTATTAGTTAAAGTGAAATTACCGTTATTTATAAACATAAACACAATCAGTGGGAGGGGGGCACAGGGCCAGGCCATATGGTAATTTTTTTTTAATCACCGACAGTGAAGCAAACAGATGCATGGTCATTAGATGTACATTTTTTGTACATGTACATACTAAGGAAAATATTTCCACACACGGATGCAAAATGTAGAAGTATTAGTTTGGCTAAATTACGTTGGTCTGAGTCTGCGTGTGTGTGTGTGTGTGCGTGCATGTGTGTGCGTGTGTGTGTGTGTGTATGTGCATGCATTTGCGTGCGTGCATATGTGTGTGCGTGTGCATATATGTGTGTGTGCGTGTGTGTGCGCGTGTGTGGCACTGCTGTTTCTATAGGTTCAGCAAGGGGGAGCATTGCAGTTTCTGTATGTTCTGCTAGAGGGGGTGATCAAGAAATCTGCTATCTACATGTACTATGCCAAATTGCCTCCTTTCTTTCCATTGATATACTAGTACCACCTCCAGGAGATATTTTGCTTGACAGTTTGTTTCTGACCTGCCCACTGCCCAGAGTCGGACCTGGAGGAGAGCAGCTACACCGGCGCCAGTAACCTTGCAGTGGTGAGAAGACAGGCAGCCAACCCCGCTCCCAGCATGCTCCTGGTGTCTATGCTGGAGCATCTGTGCTCCCTGTACGAGACAGACCAGGAGAAGAGGAACAAGCTGTTTAAAGGTTCCTTAAAAGGCCACACCAATTTAATTTGTTGGTTCTCGGATTTGCCGCTTCATTTTTTTCTGAATTGCAAAAAAAAAAAACATGTCAAGCTCTATGAACTCCAAAAAGGCTCATATTGCGGCCCCAAACGTTAAAAGAAGTCTCTTGCAGTGGTTTGATTAAAAGGTTGAAGTTCATTGTTTGAATTACAAACCAGCTTGCATTGGTATGTTGATTTCATGCCTCCTGTAATAGCAGTTGGAGCAGTAGGATGCCTAGGCCTGTTTTTTTTTTTCGCCCTGCAGCTTCTTATTTTTTCTGAAGATATCCAAGAACCAGCAAATTAAATTGGTGTGGCCTAAAGTTCAGGCTTAGCAGGGCTTAATTAAGATACATGTGCAACTAGTGCTGCATACCGGTTCACTGGACTTGGATTCGGACTTGTAAGAATGTTTAGGTTCAAGTCCAAAAAAACCTAAAAGTCAAGAACCGAGTCCGGACTTATTACCATAAAAGACCATTTCACATACCCCTTTTCTTTCCAAACCACCTAAAACCTTCCGTAGATTGCAAAATCTGTGCTGCAAAATGAAGAAAACATTGCCATCGGGCATTGTCAAGTACCAGCCTCCATGTCATGTGGCCAAAGTTTCACCCAGACAACATTGCAAGGTTGCTAACATGCAATTTTGTATATGCCATGGGTTTAGGTCCGGACTTTCAAGTCCGGAACTGAACCTAAACCTCTGGACTTGAATCCGGACCTGAACCTAAATGTGGGTTTAGGTATGCACCACTATGTGCAACCTGTAATTTACAGAAAATAAAAACACAAGAAACTTATAATTTTTAGGGCTCAGTAGCACTTAGAATCATAGTCCCATTCCTTATACTAGGTATAGATATTTTTTACAGGTAGAAATCATTTTTTAGAGATCTCACTTACTTGTCTGTTTGAAAGGAAACATGTGACTGTATGCATGTTGTTGGATAACATTAACATTTCACAAATTTCTGTGCATCTTCCTTATTACCCATGGTAGTTGTATAATTGGAGTTTCATTTTTGTTGGTAATCAGTGAACTGACATGTTGATTTTGATTATATTTACAGTACTATGTGAGCACTTGACTAAAATGAAGGTAAGTCGACATACACTTTATATCACTGTATTTGTTACAGAGTTTCTTTATATTTTATGTATTGTACTATGTAGCAATACTTGCAATTTTTTCTGTTTACACATTTAAGTTAGGAAGTTAAAATGACAAGTATACAGTTATATCAGGACCTTACTTTTTGGCAATTTTATACTTAAGTTCACCAAAATTTTGGTCCAGCTTTGAGAGACATTGTCACTACTAACATAGAATATGGAATTTTGCTAGACAGCCGTAGAAAAATAATGAAGAATTTAGGTTAAGGGAAGAACATACTTGTGTTGCAGATAGTATCTGCAGTGAGCTGGTTGGATGAGTTTGGTTCAGTTCGAGAACAGTACAAGAAGGCCTTCTCCAACCTGGTCAGTGCTGCAGTAGAGAGTGTCAGGACTGTTCCCACTGATGTAAGTGGTCAGGCTGTGGTGCCCCTTCCTCGACCAACAACAACTGCTGACAGAATCAAGTTGCTTTTCCAAGAAAGGTAAAGATTCCTGTCGCACCATTACAAACATAATGCATCACTTTACATACATCACATTATCATATAGCCAGAAGGCATTGACCAATCAGAAGGCTCCATTTCCCATTGCTTATCAGGCCGTAACCTAAAAAGTGGTCAGTTATTAGAATAACCGACCACTTTTTGGACCGTCCCATTATGCATTATGTCTCATAAACCACCTTGTTCGCTACGCTCACTTGTTGGTTTATTCAGTGGTTATCGTACTGGACCAGGGATTATCTCACCACATACACCTCGGGGCGGGGCATTAACACTTTACTAATACACACCTCTACTGGTATCTTGACTCCTGATTGAAACATCACAATAGAATCTTGCAGCTCAAAGAAGAAACAATATTATATACAATCATGTATATAGATAATAGTAAAACATTTCCTGTTTTGAGGTATTCCAAGTGTTCGCAGCTACAGTTGTTGATTACTTGTCAGTTGTTTGGGACTCATGTTGTTGTCCCTTCTGTTTCCAGCCCTCTCTTCTCTCCAAGGCCCGGTCCACCCCAGGATGCCTTCCAGACATTTGCTTCTAGGTATGCAAATGAGTTTCAGGAGATGGAGAGACTAGGGAAGGGTGGCTTTGGCAGGGTATTCAAGGTATGACACTTCTGTCAGTACCATATATTATATACAAGGCTTGAAATATTTTTTTCTACATGCCTGCATCTAAATCCACATACTCCTATATCATTATAAACCCAGTAAATGGACCAGTACAGGTTAGGTGTAGGTATCAGCAATATCTGCACAACTCCAATTTTACCTGCACCAACCTGCATATACAGGTGGTACTTTATGTCCTGATCTATTTGCACATTCAGTAGTACTGTAGTAGTAACATTGTCATTGTAAAGTGAATTTGTTTCTTACATGTTGACATGTCTTCTAGGTCAAAAATAAGTTGGATGGACAAGAGTATGCAGTGAAGAAGATTTTCTTGAAAGAGAGCTACATGGATGTGTTCTTCAGGGTAAGAGGAAAAACTGTTTTACTGAATTAGCATTAGTCCTGTGACCTGTCCCTGGTGCTGAACTTACATTCACACTGACTATCCTCCTAGTGACTTCACACTTGTCCTGTCCCTGGTGCTGAACTTACATTCACACTGATTATCTTTCTATTGACCTCACAATGACACTGTCCTTGGTGCTGAACTTACATTTACATTGATTATTTTCCTACTGACTTCACACTGGTCCTGTCCCTGGTGCTGAACTTACATTCACACTGACTATCCTCCTAGTGACTTTACGCTAGTCCTGTCCCTGGTGCTGAACTTACATTCACACGGAATATCCTTGTTTTACTTGTGATTTTCACAGTGCTATGAAATTTAAGCACTTAATGTCATAGTTTTACTCTCATTCTCTTTAAATTACACTTTTTTCTCTCCTAAGAATATAGTCACTGTTCCCAGTGTCAATGTCTTATCCTGCCATTTTCCCTTTATGCTTCCTTTCCATTGCCATTTTTTGTCTTATACTAATACCAGCTTTATTTGCTTCCTATAATAGAAACTGTCTGTTTTCCCAGATTGTCCGTGAAGTGAAACTGTTAGCCAGTCTACAGCACGCCAACGTTGTGAGGTACCACACAGCATGGATGGAGTACAGCAACCCCATCCTCACAAGTGAGAAATTACTGCCATGTTGTGTCTACAAAATACCGGTACTGTCAAGACTTAGTATATAATTGCTTTTATGTTTACCCGAAGGCAAATATATTGTCTTTGCTCTTGTTTCCTCTTCTTCTTCTTCTTAACCAAACCAATAAGGACAATGACCTGAACCAGACGTTTGTCACCATGGTAACTAGTGTTGGGTTACGTCATGTTGCAATTTTATAGCAGGAAGGATTTAGACTCCTGTCAACATATATATGAATGTGTTTGAGTAAGAATTAACAGAGCAGACCATATGCGAAGGTAAACATTATGCATTTGCTTTGCAAATGTTACCTTTCTAGTTTCATCTTTGTTGTCACATACTTTGCAGATGATGACACCTGTATTTTCTCACACAGGTAATCCTTCCTCCAGTACTAACCTTCATGTGTTGGAGACGTCATATCTTCAAGACATCCAGAACCTTCGGTAAGGAGAACGGCAGGTCTGCAGAATGTGCTCCACATTGTACACATCTGTTAGACTGTAGCCTTCAACAAGTCATCCTATACATGGACATGTCTCTAACTGCAGGCAATTTGCTAATACATTTTGTGTTTGAGTGAAAAGGAACATTTATATTTGTCTGAAGTGGAATTTATTTATTAGTAAATATATACATGATTTGTACAAGTCACGTACAATGTATATATTAGGCTGTAATAGTGCTCTTGCAAGATTTTTTGGTGGCATATTGAAATCGTTGAAGTGTTTAATATACTTTCTAGCAATAGTTGAAGTGTTTAATATACTTGAAGTGTTTAATATACTTTCTAGCAACACTACATGTATACCAAGATACTTTATAGGAGATTCAACGAGTGCATCACAGATCTGACGAAGGTTGATGAGATCGACCAAAAATTTATGGTGAGTTCCTTTCTTGTGTCGGAACAAAGCTTGAACTTTACAACTAATATTTTCCTATATATTTGTACATGCACATAGGTCCACCTACATGTATGCAGACAGCAGTAGTATAGTCTTCCAGGAGTCTGCAGCAAGCGACACAGAAGCCACTGTGCTGAAGAGGCAGTCCCCCTCCAGGGAGAGCAGTGACTACAACGTCAGTGTGGAGTCCTACCTACACGACAGGCACAAATGGCAGCTTGGCTCCTCATCAGATTCTGATGAAAGTCTATCTGAGTGCCGAGGTAATGAGGATGTAACACGTCTTGTGGACACTGATGGACATAGAAACAGTCGTGGTGAAGAGATTCAGCAGATAAGTGAGAGCAGTACAGTACACAAAGTTGACACCGTAGAATGGGAAGAAGATAAGAGTGAGAAAACTGATGAAAGTCTATCTGAGTACCAAGGTAATGAGAATAAAACACGTCATGTGGACACTGTTGAGGATAGAAAAAGCAGTGGTGAAGAGATTCAACAAATGAATACTGGTAAGAGCGGTACAGAACACCCAGTTGACACAGTAGAATGTGAAGAAGATGATAAGAGTGAGAAAAGAACAACTCTGTCAGACACCATACCGTGGGAAACTTGTAGACAAGAAAAAGCTGACAATAGTGATGAGAAAACTTCCAAGCTTTTGCACACCATACCGTGGGAATCAGCTAGGAATGAAGAAGCTGAAAAGAGTAAACTGAGTGAGAAACCCTCCAAACTTCTGGACACAATACCATGGGAAGCATCTAGAAAAGAAGTATCCAACAGCAGCTGTGAGGAAACTGTCCAATTAGAGGACACAGTACAATGGGAGACTCCCGAAAGAGGAAGAGAAGAGGCAGAAAAAACTGACCAAACATCCAAGCTTGTGGACAATGTAAAGAGGAAAACATGTGAAGCTAGAAAAGAGCTAGTTGAACCAGAAGTTTTAAACACTAGGGAAGGGGAAGTACTTGCTGGAAAGGAAGCGCAACAGATGGTCAGAAATAGTGATAAATTTTCTGATGCCACACCAACTTCCAAAGGAGAAGCTTCCAGCAAACCTCTGTCAGATTCTGAGCAACCAGTAAGAGAAAGACACTTCCAAAGAACAGCTTATTACCGTGACAGCAGTGTCAAGTCAGGTACAGGCTTGGAGCAGGAGGTGCATTTTGAGTCAGCCAGTTTCTCCAGTAGTGTGCGGTTTGGTCACAGCCTGCCAGGAGCTGTTGTTCCCTTCACCAGCACACCTAAAGACACTCTGGATCTACCTGTCAGGGGAAGGTTTTCATCGATGAGCAGCGTGAAGAGACAACACAGCTTGAGCCATGGAGCCAGGAACGGCAGCACTGAGACTCACATCTGTGGAGACAGGTGCAAACTCCGACTGAAGGGACTGACTGACTGTGATCTCGTTGCTGAAGTTAGTATTTGTATGTTTTTATACTGCTACTAGTATGTTACAGCATATCTGTCTCAATGCTTTTGCAGTGATAGATACCCTTTTTCTGTTATGTGCATTTTTATGTCCAAATTGTTAGGAATGTTAACTACAACTTGTGGGGTTGTGTGGCGTAATGGCAGAGTGCTTGATTTGGAACCAAGAGGTCCCGGGTTCAAGTCCTGACATGCCACCTATCTTGTGCCCTTGGGAAAGGCACTTAACACAACTTTCCTCACTTAACTCAAGTAAAAATTAGTATTGGCTGTCCTGTACATGTATTTGTTTCTATGTGTGGCACACAACACCAGCAACAGCTGCTTTTGTCCCACGTGTATTGTATTTGTTACAATTTCAATAAAATGAAAGTCAAATCAAGTTGGAAAGACTTTCTGTAAATACCAGTTATCAATTTCAGGTTGTTGTTTACAAACATGTTAATGATAAAGAATGCACTCTGTTTTCAGACCAGCGGTGTAGTGCTGTACATCCAAATGCAGCTGTGTCAAAGGTCACTTCGGGATTGGCTGGTCAGTAGGAATGCACAGGCTTCTTTGTTACGAGGTACTAAACATAGATTTTATCAGGAATGAGCATTGAAAATACATATATAACTAATAGTATTATACTAGTAAGAGTCGAGATATGTGAATAGTGATCAGCTTCCATATGTAAGAAATAAAAAATAAAAGTGTTGTACATGTTGTTGTCTTACTCAAAATGGCCATCAGTGAGGAATTTTTAGTCGCATTTATGATATTATGTGACGGTTGTAACCAGCATGTTGGCATAATGTACTTTGGCTGGAAAAAATCCAGAACGTAAGGTGCATAGCACTTCTAGAATTTAAGGTCGTATTCACGTATTTCAGAATGAATAGCCGGTATAACCGCCCTTCAGCGTAACACACCAGCTTTGCAGGCACTCGGTGTGGCAGTAGCTAGCTATATCACACCGCACGAAGCTTTCTAGTGATGATGCCCCAACTATGCTTGGTGGCAACGAGTTCCAGTCTACAATAGTTTGGGAAATACAAGTTTTTGAACATCAGCCTTAACTGAAGTATTATCTCCATTCCTCTCCTTCCCAGATCCCTTTGGTGCTGTATCTGAGGAAGACAACATGAGACTGTTCCAAGAAATTGTACAGGGAGTCAACTACATCCACTCACAGGGACTCATGCACCGAGACCTCAAGGTAGCTCAACCTTCAACATGTTACAGTAGACATTTGACATCAAATTTGTTTATCGGTTATGCAGTTAGGAAGCAGGGAGAAGCTTGATACATATAATGATGCATGAGTGAACGATAGTTGAAACAATAGGGGGACAGCACTTTTGAGAGATATTGAATACATTTATATCTTGTATCTTGATAAGTCTAATTCTCTAAGGATCATTACCGTATTTCTTTCAATAAAGTTCACACTTTTTTGACATTTCAACTCTCAAGTAGACGCCTCAGGCCAAAGCCATAGTCGGGGTGCGAACTTTATTCAGGTTTTTCCCTGAGAAAAATTGCGAAACAAGCCTGGCAGACGACCATATTTACGCGCCATACTACCGCCCCAAAGAGCAAGAAATTATTCACGTTTTATGTTTTTCATGTAACGATGCTACGAATATTTGGTAACATATTTGGTAGCATATAATATGTGACAATATAGAGTGTTCAGTTTCTGAGATGTATAAGATGTACAAATTGTTACGGAATACATTCTTCATGTCCTATCACTAGCCCCCCAACATTTTCCTGATTGGTGAGGATGAACATGTGTGTATCGGTGACTTTGGGCTGGCCAGGGAAGACCTTCTGGACACCCAGCTGGGGTCCAGTCCACCACTTACACCGCTGGAGATGCCGGACATGACGACAGGAGAGACCACTCACACCTCGGGGGTGGGCACGTGTACATATGCCTCACCAGAACAACTGAAGGGAACCACATATAACAGTAAGGTAAGGAGAGACCACACATGCACATATGCCTCGCCAGAACAACTCAAGGGAACCACATATAACAGTAAGGTAAGGAAGAGACCACTCACACATGGGGGTTGGGCACCTGCACAGATGCCTCACCAGAACAACTCAAGGGAACCACATAATTTATATAACAGTAAGGTAAGGAGAAACCACTCACACACATATACATAATGCATTGCCTGAACAACTCAAGGGGACCACATATACAATGTAACAGTAGGATACGTGTGCATCACATGATAACCACTGCACCATGTAATAAGTTGTATGGCTACTCTGAAACACAGACAATGAAGGAGCCTAGTGCATCTGTTTTTAATTGTATTTCTAGTCTAATAAGCAAGAAATTTTGCTGACTTTTATAATATTGTCTCATGAGTGGTTCACAGCACTCTAGAGAGTTATGATGGCTTTGGCATTAGTCCTGACATGGATTTACATATGTTTATGACATGGAATTATTTTCTCTATCCAGTCGGACATGTACAGCATGGGAGTCATCCTGTTTGAGCTGTTCCACCCCTTTGGGACTGAGATGGAACGAGCCAAGTCTATCCAGGACTTCCGAGAAGGCAGACCTCTCCCACCTGTACTGGTGGAGAGATGGCCGAGACAGGTAAAGTACAAGCACAAGGAGTGAGACTGTTGCTTAAATGATGCATTTTCTGGAGCTTTCTTTAAGATTTCAATCATGCCTCACCAATTTTATTCAATATACATATGTAGCACGTCGACAGAACGTACTGCGCCTGCGCAAAACCCTGATTCTTCACGGTTTTCATTGGATGTTTGGTCAATGTTGCATCAGAATTTTTCCTGTTGCAGACAATATCTTTTCCAACACAACATCGGAAACTACAGACAGGATGTTAACCAATATATGCGCGAGTACAACCTTTGAAGTGCTATGCATAATACATTACGGGTTTTGTGCAAGTGCTGTACATTCTGCTGACATGCTTACAGATATATACATATAAGTTTGTCCAATTAGAAAAAGTGAAGTAAGATTCTTATTGGACCAAATGTTTTTGTGTCCAGTGTGACTTCATGCAGTTGCTGACCAGTGATGACCCCAAGTACAGACCAAGTGCCAAAGATATCCTGAAGAGTGGCCTTTTCCACAACAAGGATGAGGTTAGTTTCCCTCAGAAACTCTTCACAGACATTTGTACCTCATTCTCAGTGAGTTGACTGTACAGAACACACTACTGTATCTGTATCTGTATTTTATTGCCAGTATAACCACCCTTTAGCGTAACACACCAGCTTTGCAGGCACACGGTGTGGCGGCAGCTAGCTACATCACATCGAATGACTTTTCACACTCAATCTTTGCACATTTAATTGCAGGAGTTAAGGTTTAAAGCTTTCTAGTGATGATGCCCCAACTGTGCTTTTGAGTTTCAGTCTACGATAGCTTTGGGGAAATACGAGTTTTTGAACACCTCAATTCTTGGCTGATAACTCTGATATTTGAAGGCATGGCTGTTTCTTGTTGTACTGTTGTACAAATGTGTTTGATTTGGTATATAACATTATCCATCATCATATAACATCATCCAGGAGTATTAACTTTTTGTTTGAAAAAAAAAGGGTTCCACCACACGTCCATCATTTAATATCTGACAATTTACCCTCTGCAGGTCATTGCCAATCTAAAAGCCATAGTCAACAAGCAGACACAGGAAATGGAGGACCTGAGAAGACAGCTGAAGGAAAAGGAAGACATGTTGTCACAACTCAGGAGAGACAGAACTACACACTGAATACCTTAGCCTCCGTAGCAGGCTCATAGAACTGGGGGTTTGGTGGTCTTCGGCTGTTTTCTGATTAGCCCAGTTCTAAAAAATGGGGGTAATTCAACCAGGCCGGCTATGTTGTGTATATGCAATCAGAAAATAGCACGTAAAAGCTCCCAAAGACCCTGAAATCCCCCAAAACCCCCAGTTTTTGGCATGCTATGGAGGCTAGAATATCTATGATACATATGACATTGTACATATTAGATAAACACACACAAACAAAAATGCGGGTTTACCTTGACAATGGAACTGGTGGACACAACAGAGATATTCAGCAGCTAGATAGCATTGAATAGAATTTTTCAATTGTCAAGTATGTTTGAATTTCTATGGTTGAAAGATAGTGCTGCAACTCATACATGTATAGAGTAGAAATGAAGTTATGTGTACGAAATTCAAGTTTACTTTTGCAAGATTATTTTGCAAGCTTTGAATTTCATGTACATACACCTAGAAATGTAGCCTGAGTGTCAGCCTTGTTAGCTTTCGTCCGCTACCCAAGGTCCGCTCCCCGCCAACCGGGGAGCGGACCTTGGGTAGCGGACGAAAGCTAACAAGGCTGACACTCAGGCTACTAGAAATGAGTACTAGGTCTTTTTCACACTCTACCATGACAATCAGTCAAAATAGTATGTACATGTGTATGTGCAAATATGAATTTGTTCTACGCAAACCAAAATGCTAGCTACATGCTTATAACTGAATCAACATGATTGTAAGCAATTATCAAACAATGTTATCATGTACACAGACTCATATGTGATACTACCTGCACCTCTACCTCATGATTATAAGATCTAATATCTAACATTTTTATTTCTTCCTTAATTTACAAGCCTGAAAATATTGTTGCATCCTGACGCTTGCCTGTGTACAAAATGCTTATGACAGTTTGGTATACATACATGTATATGTAATATAAACCAGTTACAGTATTATGTGCAGTGTTATATAGCTCACTCGGTATGCCCTTAAATTGATGTAAAAGAATTTGGAAGAGGAAATACTTGTACAAGGCCTCTACTATTCTCACAATGCCCAATTGTCTTGAGTTTGGCCGTCTTAAACAGATTACAGCTTTGATGAGTGAAAGAGTAAGAAAGTTGCTGCAATTAAATGTTTCTCAAAAAGACAAAGAGTGTTGTCATGTGATAGTATCCAATCCTAGATATTGAATAGTATTATTATTTGACCTGACCTGGTGTTATGTGCTATCAAAAGCTTTGTCCAAACTCTTATAAGAGAGTAGTGGTTGAAATAGCTGTGTAGTGTAAGCATCTTCTGTGCACCACAAGCTACCCTCTATACTCGAATAGTGTTTGACAGAAATGTGTTGTAGGTGTTGAAATGTAGCCTCCACCAGGCCTTTCTACAGGAATACGGATCGTAGAATTCAGCAAAAAAAGAAGTAAATTGGCCAAGGGAGTCCGGCCGCGGGGAGGTAGTTTCTTTTCGACTGCGCGGCCAGTCAAACCTACAAGGTGCCCAACTCCCCTGGTAAATATTCTATATATAGCCAGTGTAGTTAGTCTGGTAGAGACCAGTTGAAATACATGTAAGGGCAATCCATGCACTGCGAACTACTTCAGTATCATAAATTGGTCAAACTGGTGACAACAGTATGTGAAGAAGTTTACCCAAGAACCCATATGACCACACTAATCCGTTTTAGTGCTCTCTGAGGCTTCCCTGACAAACATGCCCCATTGTGCACAATGTTTGGCGAGGGAAGCAGATCAAACCTGCAGCCCAATGTTTAACTTTAACCTCATTAGGTCGGCACTATTAGCAAACCTTATTTAAACTCTAACATTAACGTTACGCATCTCGCTAATATTGATCAGCATTCACGCTTAATTAATCACCATCATTGTTTTTATTAGTATTTTTTTCACGCCAAACCCAATCTAATTTTAGACTCAAAAAGTGGGGATGCAAAACATGACCTAGCCTCCCTTTATAATATATTCTCCTCTTTTGCTACCCCAGTGTCATGTCATACTTTTAAACATTTATGGTACATTGTACATATCTTTACGGATTTGCAAAGAAAGCGTAAAGATATGAAATATGTTTACGTCATATTTAAGCACACTGAAATGTGACGGAAAGGCGAATTTTTCTTTCAGCAGCCCTTACGAAGTCGTAAAGTCTACTGAAATAGTTTCTCACCTTTAATACTTCTTTACATATTTCGGAAAGTTTGCTTAAATGTCTGTTTTCGTGCTGTGTGTATTATTCCCATTTAGCATATTGTCAGCGACACGTCCTTATTATACCCCATTCACTGTCAGCAGTGCAGCGTTTGTTAACAAGGTTCTCTTGTCTGTTCTCGATCGATGCCCCACACACAAGACCTGTTCTTGAACAGCGTGACCAGGTATGCTGCCTGTTGACACAGCCGGAACGATAACAACCGCAGAGGGGTGCTCGTCAGCCGGGCGTGTCTACAGACGTGTAACCTCCTGTGCAGGCTCCGGGGCGGGTGGGAATTTGCGACACAGCGTATTGAAGAGTTTTTAACGCGTTATTTTAATACAGAAAGTTTATTGCAAATACATGCCCGCTAATTGCAGTTACAAACAACATAGAAAGAAAATACAGTGGTATGTGAGACTATATCTACGTCTAGCATTATACTAAAGTCTACAACATACATGGTACTAGTTTTACTGGGTTTGACTTCTTTTTAGGCAATGGAAGACGAATTTACCCACTTCTTCTATATTATGTGGGTTCTTTTAGTAGTCATTTTTTTGTGTGTGGTAGGGAATGGTGGGGAAGAAGGGCAGAATTTTGGACACGGTGGTAAATAATTGATTTCTGATGTCATAAAATGGACAGTTAGAGATCAAGTTTAATAGCCGGACATCCTACAACCAGCCGCCGGGAGAAGGCATTCTACCCACGGGGGGATGGCCGGCTATTAAAATAACGCGTTAAAAACTCTTCAAAACGCTGCCCCGGAGCCTGCACAGGAGGCTAACAGACGTGCATGTGTGTCGTGCAGTGGGAGTGTACCACTGAAAGAACACCTAGGGGAGTGCTGACGTCCTCTATGCTAGTAGTCTCTCTTCAACAGCGTAAAGGCGCCTCCACACCTGTCTTTATATTATTCTTAAAAATCCGCTTTTCTGTGTAATCTCACTGTGTCATATTGCAAAAGGACAATGTGTTGTGGTTCCTGGGCCTCCTACTGTGGTAGTTTTATGATCCTGACGTCTGCAAACGGAGTGAGTTCGTCCAAACCCATTCTGCAGACGACAGGTTGGGCATGACACGCTTGTGTTGGTTACCGTGAGAGACAGCGGGCTGTGAGACGGTTCTCAGCGGTAGAGACTCACGAGTTAGCCCGGCGAATTTCTCCACCCCCTGCTGTTTCCCGACAGATAATTATACAGGTAAGACAGCACCATTACTCTCTTCTGTACACTCTAGCCCCCGGGTATCCTCTTCTGTTCTGGTCCGTGTTGTCGGTGTAATCATGTGTATGAGTGAACGTCACTAGAAAACATCAGTTTGGTCTGTATAGAATTTGTTTAGACTTGTATAAAGGTGAATGTCTTTCCCCAAAATGGTGTACAGCTGCCTTAAGCTTATCCTGTATTCCAGCATGTATTGCATCATATGTGTGATGATGCAGACTACTTGTCATCGTTAAGGGCTATAGAAAAAGACCCACGGCCGCCTCGGAGTCAATGTTGTAGTGATCTGGATATGTTGTGAGCAACTTACATGGGGATTCTTTGCGCTACATATTGCAAAAGGGACAAAACATCTGTATACATCTAGTTTGCTTGTTTCATGAGCTCTTGTTGGGAGCTGCAAGGATCTTTAAATTGAAGCTCCTTTCTTGCTGGGAGACAGCCTTAAGTAACTCTTACTGGTTGCCCCAATTATACATTGGAATGCGACGCCATCCTGACCATTAGGCACATCATTGTAAGTGCTAGAGTACATGCAACTGAAATGTGTTCAAGTATCTAAACACAGGATGAAAACAGGCGATTTGTTTGTATGGCAAAACTCTGCTGTTTATCAAAATCATGTTTTTACTCATTAGACTAGGAATGCACCCTTCTAGAGCATTGCAATTGCTCCAGGTGACACATGTATATGTGTTATTTGTTTTATTTGTTTGACGTCTGTGATTCAAAGTCTATTTATAACCTCTCCTCCAGGAAATAAACTCGAAGAGACGACACAAAACGTCTGAAAGACTTGGTGTTTTTTCTGCGGTGACACGCGTGGAGCAAGCTTAAGGTCGGGAAAAAGTCGCCATCACCAAGTCACGGAGAAGAGAGGCAACAGGCATTTCGAGTGGAGTAAACAAGGCGATCGCAGATTGCAGGCGCCATCAATCAAGTTTACCGCGCCACGGTTGCAACTTGTCCGGATCGGAACGACGCTTTTTACGGCACGGCAGTCGTAACTCTGGTTGGTTACGCTGCGGAGGCGTGTAGGCGATCCCCATTATGTCCTCCCGTAACCCAATTGTAAAGTAACACGCAAAGGAGCACCCCGAACAATTGGGTGAAGTCTTCTGAAAGGACGTGCTGTCATTACATGCTGTACAAAAGTTACCTGGCTGCGCTAAAAAAATACCAAGTTTTGGCAGTAGGTTCATGATATTCTGCAAAAGGTCCCGTTCCACTCTATGCAGAGCATAGGGGTGGTGCCCATCTCCATTTCGTAGCCCTTGGGTGACACACAGTTGTGCAAGGCACTACAGCAGGCTAGGGTGCTAGTCCGCTGGTAGTGCTGTGTGTTTGACCTTCCCACACTCTTTCTCATATATTCTGAGCACCAAAGAATTAAGACAGCGAGGACAGAAAAAAAGGAGCCACGATGAACGGACCTCACCACGGTAGGGTAAGCCACCACGGGAAGCACCATGCCACCCCCCACCCCATGGAGCTGAACACGCCGCTCTGTCCGGCCTCCGTGGTGGGCAGCTTCTTCGAGCTGAGCGCCGAGGCCCTGGGCGGGGAGATGATCCCGTTCTCGGCGTACGACGGCAAGGTAGTGCTGGTGGTCAACGTGGCGTCGGCGTCAGAACACACCACCAGGGAGTACCTCCAGGTGAGATAGAGTATTTTTAATTTTTTTTTTATTTTATTTTATTCACATAGTTTATGAACATTAAATAGCAAGCACAAATGTACCTATAAGATCTTTTGCTCAAGAACGTAAAACATACAAAATACAGGTTAAAAGTACAAAATGTGTACATGTAACGAACGTAAAATGACTGGCGCACCGGTACCAATAAACTAAAATGAATTAATATATGATGAAGTAAATCCTCCAGACTGAGAGATGTAATTGAAATCAGTGTCGAAAATACAGCAATTTGTAGATTGGCTACCGGTAAGGAGTTAAGTGCACAATGTGGTGTCATTTGTGTTGAGTGAGACAGTATATTGTTTATTGCAAACCCATGCCCGAGCTAGGAAATTGCAAATACAAATAAAAGGAACATTTGATATACAAACAAGCATGTAATACATAACTAGACATACATGTAGAAATAAAAACAACCCTAACTCCTAAAACGTGTTGCCTAATGCACTCATTGTATTATTGCGTTAAAATTTTGAATGAATGAAAAAAAAATTAAAACTAGTGACCCTTTTTTTACTTCTTTTCTGAAGACACCTGGTTAACATGGATAGTGGGAACACCTGGTAAACAATTGTCACCATTACTGGTGTATATACACGGGGAACAGTTGGCAGTGACATCTGGCACTATAGCTTTTCCGCAAATATTTTACCACCATTACGGGGGTTCAACAAATAAATTACTTTTCAAAATACTGGTAACGCACGGTCTAGGCGACATAGTTTACGTGAATGGGGCCATACTGGCTTATCAGATGAAATTCCTTACTTTCTAATCGTCGTAAATTCCATCTTTAAGGTGCCTCAAAACTGAAGAAGATTGCTAGTGAATCCCTTTCACGCCAAACTATTCTTAAGGTAGAAAAACTACTCGGTAAAACCAGGTATTGTCCAGTGTATAAGTCTGTCACTTGTTTTGGATTTGTGACGTGACCTGTTCCATTTAGAGCGCGTTAGCGACAAATTAGGTGTAATCCTATGAAGACAGAAGGGCGGTATCGTATGTCCGACATAGATTAGAAAGTCCGATACAGAAGGACAATACCTCTATCTGTAAGGCTAGCTTCGTGACTAAAAATAGGTGAATCGTTTAGACAATCGTATGAGAAAGACCACCAGGAAGTGTACATAAAGGTGATTTTATAAGCTTTAAATTATAAACTTGTTCTATCTGCAGATTTAAACGATACACATGTAGACAGATTTGATACACTCGCATTGAAACGTAAAACCGTTTTCGGAGATGCCTCTATTGTCAAAATATTTGTTGTTTTATTGATAAACAGAAAAACGCTGTGTATTGCCTTGGGTATCGCTTCCGGGTACTTAACAATAAAAAAGTGGGCCTCGTTGGATCTTCTTAATCTGTTCCTGTTGATGGGAGAAAATACGATACAAGAAAGTGGGTCGACTGAGTTGGCAAGCCAGTTTTTTTTTACATGGCTCGATCTGTCTTCCCTAAATACTAAATGAGATTGAAGACGAGAGTCATTTTATTGTGGACTGTGCTCTATATAATAATGAAAAATTCTCTTCAATTGTATACAAGATTATTTCCCTAGTTTTAGATTTTTAGATAGAAAAGAAAAATTCACATTCCTCATGAAACTCGATAATCCTCGTGCTATAAGCTCTTTCTGTTCTTACATTTACAACTGTCTTAAGAAGCGAGAAGAAGCAGAACCTTATATATACGTAGTTTTACTATACTTAGTTCGCAATGAGCAAAAATGTACAATAAAGGTCTTTCATCCATTAATTATATAGACACTATGTAGAAACTTATTCACACTACTGCTTTCTGTTACTCCCGTCTGAAAACTGTGTACACGGTGGAATGTAAGCTTTACACGCCACAAAAACTAAGCCTAGAAACAGGCTTAAGTCCGGTTTCCCTGTTGTGTTAGTCCCATGTTTTCTTAAGGTGATTAAGGATTTTTTGTGACGCTCTCAGGGACCACTAAGCCTTGTGAGAGGTTCTGTAAACGTGTGAAAGGCAGATTGCTCGGGTGTCAAAGTTTCAGAGTGTACCTTCAGGGCTCGAAATTAATGCTGTCCCGATGGCCACTGACCACCGAAATTTAGACCGGGGCAGCTATAAAGTCTCTTTGTGACACTTAAGTCAGCCCTTCTTTAGTTGATCAGGCACGTTTCCTGGCTTTTGGCTCTCGAAACGCCCCCCACCATAATTTCTGCAAAATTTCTCCAAAACCTCTGCAATAATATACTAGTACTAGTAGTGTGCCTGAAAGTCATATATTAAGCAGAATTAAGTTGACTTCAAGTTTTTGTTATACATACTTCCCGAAAAACGGGTTGGGACCATGTATCCTCAGTTCGGGACAATTGAAATTTATTTTCGGGACAATGATGGGACAATAGAATAGGGAAAAAGTTAATTTTGAGGCCAGGTACCTTGACTCACAAGTTTACAATACTAGTAGCTCCTTCGGTGTCACCCTGTGTTGTCACCTCACAACACCGACGTTTGGTGCACAACACGTGGTCCTGCATTTGTCCCACAAGCTAGTGTTGGGAGAATCGTAGGCTCGTTGGTTATTCTAATTACAGCAACGAACATTCTGCTGTGCAATGCGACCTATGTTGATTGCGCATAGAGCGTAGATGTAAATTAATTAAACCGCAAAATTCGGAACACCGGTATGGCGAATGGCTGAGCGTTAGGCGGTACTGTTGTTAATGTTGATCAATATGTTTGTACCATTATTAAGTCTTCTCCGAATATGTATTGATATATTCGTATTTCTAGCTTAACTAGAACAAATGTCTTACACCGCACCGGGCTCGTGCATGATGTAAAACTATTGATAGAACTTTCAGTACAATCCCTGCAAGTAAGCTCTATTAGGCCACACCAAGTAAATTTTATGGATGACGTCCTTTGGAGACCCTAAATCTAATGCGAGAGGGCGAAAAAAAAACAATAAAGGCAAGATGCCTAGATTAGAAATGTAGTAAGAGACGACAAATGTTAGGACACAAATTGAATGAGGTGATACAGTGTAACAAGCAATAAGTCTTTTATTCATCATCAAAACAGCAATAAATCAGGTGGAACAGCAGTTGTCGTCCTGTCCTGTTCTCGCGTTACGGGTTTCATGTCAATCTGACGATTTGTGGCGATGTCGTGACTCTTTGGTCATAGTTACAGGAAGCGGAATTTCTTGGGTTTTTTTCTAGGAACAGGCCAAAATCAATGCGCGCGCGGACGTCATCCATAAAATTTACTTGGTGTGGCCTTATGTGTCTGCCCTCCACCCAAGCCTAAGCACAAATACAGATATTCATTCATCAAATTTAGCTTTGAAACCAAACTGAAACGTTCATTGATAATGTATGATAAAAGTTTGGTGGCGTCGGGTGGTGTAGTGGTTAGAGCGATCGACTACGAACCAGGAGACTCGGGTTCGATTCCGAGTCGTACCTGGGGCATGTCTGAACATGCGCCCCGACGTTGTGCCCTTGGGAAAGGCACTTTACACGAATTTCCTCACTCCACCCAGGTGTGAATGGGTACCTAACTTCGGTTGGGGAAAGTCGTATTGAGGTCACCTGGCGCCGAATGGCTGCCGTATAGACCCTTGCGACAGTTCCACAATAATTTGTGGAACAAATATGTGTATCATGTGTATTATTTGATTGTTGTGATTTGTCTTGATTATGTAATACCCTGCATCAATTCAGCCGTATACAGGCTGCGACTGCACGGGTACTGTTTGGACAATAAAAACCATTTATTATTATTATTATTATAAGTTTGACTTGATTCGAGTGGCTGAGCCGTTAATATTAAAAACTATTGATGAATGAGTTTGTCTTGTCGTTCGGCGGCGCCGTCAGTTGGGGCAGGTGACTTAATTAGTTGCCACGAACGCCGCTACGGTCGGACGACAAATATTGGGCGAGTCAAAAGTTCATTCAGTCGCTTTTATTATGTCTGAAAACACGTTAAGTGAATCAGCGGGACTGAAAAGGCGCGGCGGAAGTGTGTGCACAGCAGTCCCTCAAATATCCATTCTACGGGCCCGTTCGACTTTAATTGGAGACTGGACCGAGCGTATGACCCATTTTCTGTAGCCATGACTCCGTGTATACGTCACTTCGCACTGTACAAAAAGTATAAACCTCAAGCTCGTACCTTTACATAGCAGGTATACTCAGTATTACTATTACTGTAAATCATAGACCACCATATATACGGTCTGTCTGTGTAACCTCCAAAAACAGTGGATGGTCCTAAAATAACTCAGCCTATTTCGCTTAATTGTCTCTCCATTTTTGCATGGTAACATTACACTTTACCCAAGCAAAGGCCTGATAAATAACTTTTAGAATGAATGTGACACTTGCACGCACTGTAGTGCGTTCATTCTGTGCCTATTAAATTAAATACGCTCCCCATTGTGTGTTTCAAGCTGAACGACCTGGTAGCCACATACGGCCCGAAGGGACTGATCGTGCTGGGCTTCTGCTGTAACCAGTTCGGGAACGGCGAGCCCTTCTCCAACCACGAGATCCTCCGGTGTCTCCGCGCAGTAAGGCCGGGAAACCGCTTCTCTCCAAACTTTCAGGTAAGGAACAACACTCTCTAAAAGTAAAACAAACATTTTCGCGCATTTCTAACCAATTGAGAAGGGTCGCTATAGTCATGCAACGATCAGAAACACATAGTACAAATATAAGCGCCACAATTTAGGCCATTTTTGGATAGTTTAGAGAGTATAATTTAGGATAACCTCAAACTTTAACCATCCAATATGGCGGGCGATATTGACGTCATAGTCACGTGAGTGGAAACAGGCTGATGAATTTATACCGAGGGGGTGTGGAACACAAGCGGTGTTAACTCAATTAACTTATTGAAATGCCTTTCCCGTGCAATTTCCTCTTGCAACCCAACATGACATTGTCTCGTATTTCAGTTGTTTTCAAAGGTGGACATCAACGGCAAGCACGGCCACATCGTGTGGGAGTACCTCAAGCTCAAGCTGCCCTTCCCGTCCGACAACGCCGCCACCATGGCGCAGGAGCACCTGGACATCGGCTGGAGCCCCGTGCGGAGGACGGACGTCTCCGGCAACTTCGAGAAGTTCCTCGTATCGAGCGACGGGCAGCCTTACAGGCGGTACAGCTGGAGAACCACGCCGGAGGACTTGTGCAAGGACATCGAAGACCTGCTGAGAAAAGTGACGCGCACCAACAGGGAGCAGGGGAACACGGGCGCCAAGAACGACAGACCCATTCTGTTTAACAGCAAGAAGTACATGCAAGAAAGTATGACTCGTAGTACAGTGAGGGACGATGCAGCGTACTAGTAGTTCTACTGACTATGCGCTCTTGGCCTTGCATCTTGAACTTTCCGAAGACAACTTTCCGAAAACTTTTTGTGTATACAGAAAGCTTTGGTCGAATAGAGTATATCATACATGTATAGATCTCAATAACATATGTACATAACATTATGGAGTTATTTTCTTTCATGCTTAAGAAAATACTTGTACATAACCAAGGCAAAGGTTAAAAAATTTCCAATACAGTTTTACAGGCCTATTTCGTCAGCAATGTTTCATACAGGATGCCGTTGTAGAAGAAATGAGAAAGAAAGACCCCTTAGCCAGAGGAAGTGTCAGAAGGCAGAACTTCAGTGTAAGAGTTGTTAGTGAGTGGAATGCTCTGCCACAGTCCAAAATAGACTCAAAAACAGTGAACGAGTTTAAAACACATTTAGACAAACATTGGGAGAGTATGAAGTACAACACTTGAGTAAAGTTCGACACCGGGATTACTACAGGCAAGCCTTCTCATCCCGAAGATGGTATCAAGTACATTTTCAAAGTCTCCATAAGCCTTTATTGACACATAGTAGTTACATGTATTTCTCTGAATAGAAACACTAACCTGACAAACCTGTTATACATGAACTCCATCGGTATTGTCTGCTACTTATAAAACAAAATTCAGCACCTACACTATATATAATATATAGATTGTAAAGCTATCATGTAATTGTTACAACAGTTCACAAGGAAGAGCGACACAAAATTGCCTCTTGACAACTTCCCTGCCACAAGGAATCACAGAAGAAAAAAAAATCATAATGACGTCTAAAGAAATGGAACTGATGTCAATATTCTGTAAGAAGTAATTCTATAACCCCCCTCCCCCCCCCCTGACAACCATGCTAGAATCTGTCCACAAGACTCAGTAACCTCTGTTGCTCTGCCTCCTTGGTTTCAGTGCTCTTTGCATCACCGACATTGGCTGCATACTCTGGACAAAACATGAACACAAAAACATCAGTTGAGGACAGTTACACACAAATGCTGCCTAGCTCCATATCCAGTACAAATTTGGTGCCCAACAGCTACCTTAGCATGCTGAAGGGTAAGGTTTGCTATATGTGGGGTTTTGTGGCGTAACGGTGTTCGGCTCAGACCCAAGAGGTCCCAGGTTTGAATCCTGCCCGATCCCACCAATCTTATGCCATTGGGAAAGGCACTTTACACGACTTTCCTCACTTCATTTAGATGTAAATGAATACCTAGCTTCGGTTAGGGACGTCCCACAGATAAGACGTTAAATGGAGGTCCCGTGTTTGGGGAGAGCCACACCCCACGCACGTTAAAGAACCCACCACACTTATGGAATAGAGTGGGGGACCTTCCCATTGTGAGTGATTCAAACCTTACAGTAGTATGGCCGCACCTGGGATCATATTGACGTCACCTCAGTTAGCGCCAAATGGCAGCCACTCCAGACCCTTGCGATTAAGCCCCAATAATTGTAAGCTCCTCACAATTCAGCCCTTGGTTGCAAAGAGAGAGTAGCCGGCCCACCCAATATAATACAATACTATTTGCATGCATCTGTATGATAGCAAACATGCCTCACCTCGGATGATGTTACGGATGGCCTTAATGGATCCTCCTCTCAGGTTTAAGATCTGCATCACTCTGGGCTTGATCTGCTCAAGAGAAAAAAAACAGTTCCTTAAAACATCTCACCATAGGCTATGTTGCACTACAAGATACTACACATGCTCACACTGGCTGGTCCTGTACTACAGATCTCTAACATGATAAAGCAGTGATAATGCTCACACTGGCTGGTCCTGTACTACAGATCTCTAACATGATATAGTCGAGCAGCTGTAAGGTGAACAGTCCGGTGTTCAGTCGCCGCAAATAGAACTCTTCCTCCATTGGTTCGTCCACCTCTTCGCCCTGGCGACGTAACGCCACTTTCTCGCGCTCGATCTGCGCATCCACCGCGCCAACCTTGTCCAGGTACTTGAAGTGAAGTTCCATCAGGCGATCCACCTGCAGGTGTGACAAGGTCATCAGAGGTGCAGGGTTCTCACCAGGATTTTTTCACAGTGTAGGGGTCAGGTATACTGATAGAAGGGCAACTTTCTGCGGCGCTAGTCGCGCACCGAGTCCCAAAAACATGGGTCTGATATTCTCCCCAAAAAATTTTGTAACTTATATTAACCACTTAAGACACTGTTTATTGTTTATTGGGGGACAGATTTTGTTCTCCCTTTGTTATAGCTTCATTCTTAAGTTATATTTTCATTTTTTTTAAAGATTAATGAAGCTTCTGCCCCCAAAAACCACCCCTACGCTGGTTGAAACACAGTGTAGGGGGCTAAATCACAGCGTAGGGGGTCAAAATCACAGCGTAGGGGGCCCCTACGCTCAAACAGCCTGGTGAGAACTATGGAGGTGGCAGACTTCACCCCCTTTATGCAGGTCATAAACAACATAAACAGACATGCCAAAAACAATGCTTCACTCCCTTAAGGGTGAAAAAACACAAAGTCATACCACAATGTCATGTGATTCTAGTGCAAAGCTGCTTAAAAAGGTCAACAGAGGAGGTGGACGATATAAACTCCCTGCCACTTTTGATCTATTGCTGACATCTGGACATCCTGTATCCGTAAGATCTTGTGTGAATAAGGTAACGTGTCTGTAACCGTAACTTTTGCAAGATTGTGTTTTGAAGTGATTAGTCATTCATTGTCCTAATGAAGGCAACAATGGTCGTTGTAAATTCGATCTCTATGTAATCTTTGTGTCTAATTTTAATATGATAACTATCAACACAGACGAACTTTCATGATACATGTAATTCAACAAGTAGTCGTAGGTTTATGGGTTTTCCCAGACATTTCTGCAGGTTTAGGTTAGACTTAGCAGAAAGAAAATGGAACCACAAGAAAAACGAGAAAGTGAACTACAGAACTGTAGTTACCTTTGCATGATCAGCCTCTGTGAACTTGTTCAGTAGCCTCTGTCTCTGGTTACTCTTGACGTTCTTCAGCAGTGAGGCAATGATGGACACAACATGCTCTGGAAAACATCACCACGGACAAACTTACACCACTGAGGTACTGGTAAAAAAAACATGCTCCCTGTTCTCAAATATGCAGTACAGAAAGAACCAGGCCTGTAGTTTGGTTAGTGAGAGAAATTCCATGTTTTCTGCTATCCTTTTTTTGTTTGCATCTGTTCAACTTCCAGTGATGTTGGGTAAGGCTAAAAGTGAGGCTTGTTTGTTTATTTGTTTGTTTGTTTGAGCCATTGTTTCTTTGTGAAATACTTAGTCCATAAACATGGTTGTACAAAGTCTATGGTGATTCGATACATGTCTTTAGTGATCACTCAAAGGACAAAAATGGTCACAAAGACTCAGAGTCAGACTAGACAGGTGGTCACTGTAGATAGGGTTCTTTAGTAATATTTGGATGCACCCTAAAACTCACCTTCATGTTCTTCCTTCATCCTGCCAATCTTCTTATTAGGTTTGGGTGTCTTCATGAAGAGAGGGAAGATGGTGCGCAGGCCGAGGATGTCAATAAACTTGGTGCAGTTGTCCACACCCTCTGGTCCTGTCAGGGCGTGGTCCAGCACCTTCAGGGCACTGTTCCTGGACATCTTCTTCTCTCTAGAGAGAGTAGCAGAGATGCAGTTAGGCCATGTTGATTTGATTATATGGATGACATCCACGCACATATGAATTTTCATTCATTTCCCCCCCCCTCCCCCCAAAAATGTTTTCAATCCTACTGTAAATCGTACAAAGTGGCTGCAAAAGGACAAGAAGAAAATGTGAAGGAATGAAAATGAAGAGTCTATTATCCACCATGCCAATAACTTATTACACTGTGTGTTTAGTCATTTGTTCAACCTTCATGACCACCATGTTACTGGTACATCAAGAAATTCTCTCGACAGTTCCAATACATCTACAGAAATCCAAAACAATTCACAGAATTCTGAAATCTCTCATTTCTTTTTTTAAATACATGCAGTTACATGGTTTGAATTTGAAAGTTTCTTTTTAACAGATCTTCTACCTACCTACAGGTACAGAAATCTAAGAAAAGGTACAGAAATGTAAGAAAAAATATTCCTCTTTGAAAAAAATGTCTGTTAAGCTACTCTGATTGGTTGAACGACTGACCTGAGCATCAGGTTCATGAGCTGAAGCCCCTCCCCCTTCAGAAACCTGTCCCTATTGGCTGGCAGCATCAGGGCAGAACACAGGCAGTCAAACAGGTTTTCCATCATCTCAAGTTCCTCACTGTTGGCTGGGTTGTGCCGCTTGAATGTCTGTTAGGAGAACATGGATTGGATACTGATCAGGACTAAAGTACACATGTAATATGATATCAAACTAGAAAGGTAACATTTGCAAAGCAAATGCATAATGTTTACCTTCGCATATGGTCTGCTCTGTTAATTCTTACTCAAATACATTTATATATATATATACATGTATATGGTTAGGCAGGAGTCTAAATCTCTCCTGCTATAAAATTGCAACATGATGAAATCCAACACTAGTTACCATGGTGACAGACGTCTGGTTCAGGTCATTAACCTTATTGGTTTGGACAAGAAGAAGAGGAGACAGAGCAAAAACAATATGTTTGCCTTCAGTAAACATAAATTAAACCCAACACACACATTTTCACCTTATGGTTAAGTGAAACCAGGAATTCAAATTTTTCATGTATACTTTATACTAGTGGGAATGCATTTCCATAGTTGATAAAAATGGCATCAGTTTGAAAAAAGGTGGTTTCACCACAAGTTGTGAAAAGATAGGAGAAATCTCACAGCTAGTTGTTGAAGCAGTGTGTCGATTCCATCCAGCTCTCCAAGCTGTTCTCTGGTTTCTGTAGTGAGGATAGATTAATGTTTATAACCATTAGAGATAATAAAAAAATAAATCTAGGTTCTCTGACGTACCACGCTAGCTAATTCAATCAAAATATCGACAAGAATTTTAACTAAACAGCAGTTTAAATAAAAGGGAAAAATCTACACCCTGACCCTTTCCCATTCCCAATGCAATCCCTGTTCTGATAACTGTGAGAAATTTTAACTTACCTTCACTGTTTTGTAGGATGATTGCTAACATTTCACTGCAGTATAGCTTGTTGGCATCAAATGGCATCTTTGCCTGCAACACATTGAATAGGAGACAATAACAACTTTGTCACAATCATTTAACACTTTGTCATGTCACAAATATGTTGCAAGAAAAAGAAAAGGAAGCAATTAGCTTGATTAGATAACTTGAAGTAATTTATGAAACATATGTGGGGGAGTTTTACGGCAGGCAAAAGAGTACCCATAACGTCTGAGATGGGACTCGAACCCACAATCTTCTGCTCCGGAGGCAGACGCCTTATCCATTAGGCCACTCAGACGAATCGCTAGGGGGCGTGTTCCTACAATATATAAACCGACACCCGATATTACGTAATCACTCCTTGCACTTCGATCCAAAATTGATAGGTGTCGCTTCTGTACAGCATGTGTCTTAGCAGGTGTTTGGTTTTGCTTGTCATTTTGCGTCTTTTCGCACGTTTCTAACCATAATAAGACGACTAGTGGAAACGCAGAGTGCTTCAGAAACGTTCAGAATGAGCGAAAATACGACCCACAATGAACCGAAAGCTGTAATCGTCGTCTAAAGACGGCCAAAGTGCCTTGAGCCAAAGTTAACCGAACGCGCTGGATATCGCATCTACTCTCCAAGCCGAGGTTTATTCTTAGGCTTATCTTTGACGTGTTTCAGGCATTTTTATCGGGATTCTGTTTTAAATACTGGTATCTTTTTTCACGCCAGCCCGAGTGTCAAAAGGTTATTGCCTGGCAGCATAATTATGTATAGGGCCAATTGGATACTGTCTCACAGCCAACGAACGATCTGCTTAACGGGCCCGTTACCGTTAGAGATTAATACGTCGGGCTCACACAAAAAATCGTATTTTCCCCTGCACATATATATTCGGCATAATATGTAGAATTGAGGAACACAGAAACAAACTTCCTACCTTTATCCTTTTCAGCAGGTACGGCATCAAACCCTGTTGTGCGGCGTCGTTCGCTCTGTCGGCTTTGAACTCTAAAATATTTTCTATGACACCTATTGGCAAAATGATACATAAAACGTCATAAGGAATTTCAATACGGTGCTAGCATAAAATAAACATTGTGGGACATTCCGGTTGTTACTTGTCCCGTGCCTTAGAAAATGCGTACTTGTATTCATTTGTGATATCTGTTACAGACAGAGGCTTTTTAGGCTGTGTTCCTGGAACTTTTACCAGAATTCTAACATCTCCTACTAAAAAAAATAATAAACAACCACACTAAATAACAAAAGAAAAACAGAATAGGACATTGAAACTCAAAACTTCTGTACCACCATAGGCACAAATGTGTCTCTAAATTGGCTCTTTTAACCCTTCACCCAATACTTCTTTTACCTCTTGGACTGATTTTACAAACAGTATATTATGAGAATCATCTTGTGAAAAAATTCAGTGTAACTTTCCCCTTTCACACAATATGTTAACATAGGACCTCATAGGATATTTATATGCTCTGTAAAGATTTCAGTCTCAAGAATTCTTTTCTACTTACTACAGAAAACCATGCACACTAGTATGTTTGTTCACAAGCAGCTATAACAAAGTTACAAGTAGTTACAAATAGTCAACTACAACTTTGAATTTACTCGACGTACCTCTATAAGCATTACCAGTGTATCAGATTCCTTTAATGTTTTGTGATCATTAAATGCATGACAATAATGCATAGCAAGAACTATCATGTATAAATATGTATGTGAAAGCATACATATCTCTAGATCCTACTTGGAAAAGTGCAGCTTGAATAAAGAAGGCAGGCATTACAGGGCACTTTTATATTGCAGCAGAAATGGCATGCAGTGTAAATTGCCCCCACAAGGGGGCGCCACCAACCCAGTGTGTTGTGAACTCCATCAGCTTCCTCTTTCACAGACTCGTCCAGTCGGTCCAGGTTGGTCACCAACATCCCAAAAACTTGGGCATCCAACTGACATAGGAGGAGACAACGTTAGCTGTGCACCTGGAACCTAACAAGTCCTTCACATTTGCTACAACAAGTTACCAGTTTCACAAACCATTAGGAAGCAAAGGAAACCTCAAAAGTCCTTGCACCTTTTGCTACTTCAATAAACCTACCTTCAGGTAGTCCTTATGTAGAGGTATAGCTTTGACTGTACCTTTGATGAAGTCAAGTTGTTGCAGAGTGTATAGGTCTTTCTCTTATTCTTCTCTTATAAAGCTTACAAGTATCTGATGTTATTCTTTTGTATTCTACATTTGAGGATTCAAGTCGTGCATTCTCTTCCCTCTGTGCTGTGTTGTGTTGTGTTATACTAGCACTGTAATGTACATCATTGAAAGATGACAGTTTAGCACATGTTATACTGATGGACAATACTGGACAGTACCAGTGCCTCTATGAGAGCATCTGCTCCCTCCTCACTCTCATTCAGGGTGTCTACATCAGTCAGCTCCTGTAACAGGTCCACCAGAGCAATGGAGATATGTGGGCATGTCAAGGATACCATGATATCACACTCCCTGGTACAACTGCCTTTCAACATAACACACCGGCTTCGTATAGATGGCATGTATTGCCATGCCAGAACGTGGATGGCAGATAAATATGAAGAGCGGACAAGGCTCTGATTTATTGTTTTGTCTTTTACTTTCATGAAGTGATGTATTTCATTCCTTTTATCTGTTCCCATTGAATCAAAACCATTTGCAATCTTGGATTTGGGGTCTGCAGAGGGTGTCACCCATAAAATTTACTTGCTGTTGCCTAACACCACATCACCATACTGTGTGCAGCTCCTGAACGCAATGTGAACATAGAACCAGATGTAGGACTTTCTTTTAGCACACTTCTTTGTTTTTTTGTTTTTTCACACACATATGTAACAACAGAGCATTTATACCTTTAGGCATCATAAAACGTAGCTGACAGTGTTTTTAAGGAATTTAAATGAAAGGATATCAGTGTTTTCGTGGTTGAGCATCTGACAGAGTGACTGGACAGCATTCAGCTCCACCAGGTGATGGTACAACTCCGGAGCAGTGGCGATCACATGCAGCTCCTGGATGGTGTCATGGAGCTCCAGCTCTGACTCCATGAACCTGCATGGAACATGCACTCTTATTGGTCTATTTGCTCTGAATCCATGAACCTAGATGGTTAACCTGGACTCTCATTGGTCAAATTAGCTTTGACTTAAACAACCTTCATGGTTCATAAAGTCTTATTGGTCAATCAGTTTGGACTCCCTGAACCTGTATGGAACATGGACTCTCATTTGTCACTTAGCTCTAACTCCTTGAACATGCATGGACCATGCAGTCTTATTGGTTACCTAGCACTGACTCCATATACCTGGATGGAACATCAGAACTCATTGGTCAATTAGACTACTGTACAAGAGCCTCCATGGATCATGGAGTCTTATTGGTCAATTCTATCTGACACCATAAATATGCATAGTATATGTGATCTTATTTGAGGTTATTTGGAGTTATGGAAACATCAGCCAGGTAAATATCATTCAGGTCATGCATGGATGTGACTTTACAACCAGGTACATGTAACACATGAATAAAGCTACAAATGGTGCAAATGATGAGACTCTGGTGTACAGACTTTTCTGGGCTGTCAGGATATTTGATCCTCATCTCCTGGTTTCTGTAGACTCGCTTCTCAAACGTCAGGATCATCCTCTTCAGGGCCGCCTCATCCAGGGTCTCCATGTCATCCTCCTGGAGAAAAACATGCCGCTTCATCTCAGGACTTCACAACAGGAGCATAGGAAAGGGCAATGTTGGAGGAAATGGACGGTTTCTATTCCAGCCAATACACCTTTCTTCATACTGTACTTGCTAGTCCCACTCTATGACAGTTCTTGGAAAAAAACTGATTTTGAACACCTCAATCCTAGGTACCGGTAATTGCAATACTTTTAAGTTTGAAAAAGGTTCTAAAGAGTAAGGTATCTTACTTGCAAAAGACGTCAGTAATCTGAGGAATGATTCCACTCTACTTACACTGTGATACTTGTAAGCTTTTGGTACTTTGAATTATTCCTTTACATGAGTTTCACTCTTCTGTAGTTCGAAAATTGTTTTACACCTCAATGTTGGTTTTGTAACTGGTTTGGTAGGTTTTCCTTTAGGCCTAGGAAAAAAAATGTTGTGTTTCCGGTTACCCGACCGACCCTATGAAAAACCCCCCGACCCTAGCCTTTTTTGGGCCGACCAAAAATTTCGAGCGGCTAGCGGTCGGTTTTCAAAATTGGGGATTTTATCCCCGATAAATGTGCTCGTCATTCCAATTTTCTTCGGTCGGGCGGCGTGGATCGAGCGCTAATTGCACGGATCGGGCCGCTATTCAATTCCATTGTCGGCACAATCCTGTGAATTGACGATGAATTGTCGATCTCGCCATGACGCCACAAAGAAAACGTTGTCATTGGTAGAAAATCTGACACCCAGCTGGCGTTTCACAACAAAATTTTCATGTAAACAACTCCGACTGTCTTTGTTTACATCGCGAAAGCTCACCGATACAAAGTAAAACTCCCGCCGGCCGGCCGCGCCCGATCGCATGGTTGCGGCATGGCGCTAAGTTTTCGGCAGCTCGACGGAAAAATAATCCATCCCCAGGAAGAAATGTTACGCATGAAAATAACAACTACAACTGTTTCCTCGTTATATGAGTTTTTGAGGCCGTAAAATGTTTAAAACGGTTGAAATTTGCTCGAAAAAACGGCTCGAAAATTCACGGCGAGAAAGACAACATGGCCGACCTGTTTTCACAATAACAATGGTCAAAGGTCAAGATAGCATGCAAATGTAATAAGTACATATTACAGTGCTAAAACGATACTTTAAACGCATGGAAAATATTTTTTCGGCTACAACTGAAATAAAAATTCAGTTATATTTTAGTAAGGTTAATTTTCAAACATTACTGAGAAATTTTCCGAATTTTAATTGGTTTCTTGTGTAATATTGTTGTTTCTATGTATGTGCGGTTGGATGCTGTCATTGTAAAGACCCTTTACATATTGGGAGAATCAGATGAGATATTAGAGATTATCACGCTTAGTACCGTGACCCGAGTGTCTCTCAAAAATTGTTTTTGAGTGGAGTTTATAAACATGATCACATTTTTATTTGTTCAGCTGTGTCAATATGTGATTTGTTTGAGAAATAGGATTTGGTTTAGTTTTTAATACATTAATGTCAGTTAACATCTTTGGAATAAATTGCTCCAATTTCCAGGTAGTAAATACATGTACATTTTGTATCATGTATTTTTCACTTGTTGAACTTGTGGAAGCACCGTTGGCCCCCGGTTAGGGGTCATCCGGGGAACCTATGCCCAATTTTTCAAAATTAAGGGTAGAATTTTTTTGAACATGAGGATGATTAAGTACAGATCTTGAACCTTTCTACTGCCTTATACATCTGCTAGTTGTACAGAAATGTAGAACTGAAGTTGCAGGAAATGACCTCCATTTGTAGTTTGGAAAAGACAAAATGCAATACGCTTCCCCCCCCCCCACGACCTCCCCCCCGCCGCACCCTCCTCCACCCTGTCTGTGTAGTACAAACAGATCATACGTTCATTGTCCCATCTTTGACTAAAAAAAAAAAAAANAAAAAAAAGTAGAATCCCTACCTACCGACCCTAATTTTTTCTGGACTGTAATAGGAAACACAACATTTATTTTGTTAGGCCTTAATGCCCACAATCATTTTTGCATACTTATTATTATTTTTATCTGAGCAAAGTCGTGTAGCACCTCTTGATTCTGAGCCGAATGTACTCGTGAAATTATGACAGTTCTATTTCTTATCTGAGTTGGCTTTAGATACATGTACTTTCAAAAGATTATATTCTGCCATTCTCGGGTAATTTCTTTACCTGTTCTAACTTCTCCAGAATCACAGCCTTCTCCTCCTCAGACATGCCTGTCTGCTGTGCAGGGCTGTGTCTCCTGTACCGCTCCACGTCTCGGACACGCGCCTTCCGCACCGGCCTGTCCAGGTCATCCTCATCGTTATCATCATCGTCATGTCCACGCTTGGCGATGGACTCACGGTCAGGCTGGGGACAGCATGGAGAGGAAAGTAGTTCTGGATTAGCACAAAGAACTCCGGCAACACATATATGATCTGTATCAGTATCTGTATCTGTATAGCCGGTATAAGTATAACAGCCCTTCGGCGTAACACACTAGCTTCGCAAGCACGCGGCGCGGCGGCAGCTGGCTACATTACACCGATCAACTTGTTACACCTAACCCTTGAACCACTAACTCTAGACATTTTTTAAAGCTATCTAACGACAATGCCCCTACTGTACTTGGTGACTCCGAGTTCCACTCTGCGATAGTTCTAGGAAAGAATGAACACCTCAAAAATATCCTTGGTTGATAACTCTGGTACTTGAAGCCATGGCTAATTCACTGTTGTTGATGCATATGTGACTTAAAATCAAACGGTACATTCCAGTCTTTTTATTAAATGTAATATTAACTCCAGATATTTGTTTTTTGGTCTAGATTTTGAGAAATCATCGACTTGTTTGAAATGGTACACACAAAGCAGTGGTGGGAGGGGGGCCACACAAAATTATATTTCTGTGCTGTTTAAGAGCCGGTAGGAAGGATAACAAAAAGAAGAAGGGTACTAGATGAAGCTATTAGTGACATTGATGACCTTAGTGTGGCTATTTCTCATGTATTTTGGGAAATAATGTTGTTTTTACCTGATAAGCGAGTAATTCGCCCACGTTCAGCGCCATTTTGGAGTTCCCACAGTGCAACACCAGCGGACGACTACACTGTGTATAATAGGGGTGTTCTGTTTTAGACGCGGGCTGTTCAAAGTATTTTAGAAATGTTGAATATTTTTCATGATTCATTTCCCGGGCCTGAGAAATGCAAAAATTCAAAATCATTAGTCTTTTTAAATAGTTAATATGTGACACTAGAAGTTCCTACAATGCTACACTCTTCTATGGCTTTATAAAAAAAAAACTTTCCACGCCCCCCTTTCCCCACGCTAAAGTGTAATAGCCACCGCCCAACTATGGGGAAAAGGAAGACCGAGCAGGTGTCCAGCAGGACTCGGCAGCCTCTCGGGCCCGTCGCCCGGGCATGGCTGGTTTTCTACAACGCCGCCCATGCAGTCGGGTAACGCTACAGTCATTGCGTGCATAAATCTTTTAAAAATCTATCGCTCAACATTTTCAATTCCAAAGAACAGCGGTTGTGGAGGGTGTAATCGTTACCCAATTGATGATTAACTCGGTAGGCAGCAGCCTTAGCTTTTAAGGCGTAGCGTGATAGAATCGTATACAAAATACTCATACAGGAAATGTGAAGAGACAACGACTTGCATGCATCAGTGGAAGATCTACAATTTCACTTTCATTTAACGCCGGCCGTAATAGAAAACTTCTTTGTACTCGAACTTTGAGCCTCCAAGAAGCCTGAGAGTGACCTTTAGTTCAGTAAACTCACATCAACTTGTCGCATAGAGCGTTACCTTTTAGGCGTGTGTATCGTACCCGCTTACTTTTTATACTGGTGTTTTTTTTTACGCCGTTCCAACGAGTGGCACTGTTGGCAAAGTTCTGGCCTGGCAAATACTACCTCGGGCCAATTTGAATACTTCCTATCAGCCTGGAGCCTTATTACATACCTAGTTTGGAGTGAACTGGCCCTTGCGCATACATGAGTCTGACTACAAACCTCGCACCTTTGAACTCTTTAATCTGTACAAATCACGGTCACTGCTCAACTGTCTACCTGTTCGCTGAATGTCCAGCATTTGAAAACATAGAGCGCTGCATAGTCTGTGTGCTAAGAGAGTCATAATATCTCAGTTCCATTTTACAACAGTCCTTGGAAGGAAAAGCTGGTAACGATTCGTTCCTACATGTCCCAGGTGGTCATACGTGTTGCTCCTGTTCCTCCGCCATCTTCTCCACACCCTCCCTTCTCCCACCTGGTACGAGGGTGTGTATGGGGCCGTCAAGGATCCTTTGAAAGCTTTTCTTCCACTGAGCCTCATCTTCGAGGTAAGTGGCCTTTTTTACGCTTTCAACAACGACAATTTCAACAGCTACAACCATTGGCTAATGAAATAAACTAATCAATTCGCAACGTTAACATCTAAAGTGTCATTCATATTGATGTACACTGAAGCTGGTACTAGAGATTAGGATTAGGATTAGGATATTACGATCCATTCTTAGCCCCCAAATGATTGTTCATTCCAGATTGGCCACTAAAATTCACGTCTGACAGACTTCGCAATGCAGTAACCGTAAATGATCACTCTTCGGTTGATACTTGTTTTATTGAAAGGTTCTGCATGCGGCCACAGGACTCGTCCCTTCCGGTGTCGTTCCCACCGCCTTGCAGATGTCTGCTAGGGTCTTTATGGTGTGGGGCGTGGCTCATCTCGTTCCCCAGGTACTTTGAATGTCGTCTTTTCCTGAAAAATATGCATCTACGTTACTACTGTATATCATTCCCTCTAAATTCAATTAGAACTAAAAAGGTAAAGGCAAAGTCCTCCTACTATAAAATTGCAACATGATGTAACACCAGTTGCCATGGTGACAGACGGTCTGGTTCAGGTAAAAAAATGATGTCACTCAACCGCGACGAGGGCCGACATCGTCTACCAGATACATACCTTTTTTGACCCAGTGTTGACCTCACACTTCAAAGAAGCCACGTGACAAGCCCCACTGGGTCAGTCTACTGAGGAAGATCGGAGTGACTGGTCGAAATCTCTAGGTGAGAGAACCATTTTTGTTTTGGTTTAAAAGTTTTAACTTTAAACATCAAAGCTTATTGTTTGACAGATCCAGACGACGGCGTACATCTCCCTGTTCGTGGTGCCGTGGTGCCTGGCAGAGGTGACCCGGTATCCCTACTACGTCACGACCGTCCTGGGGATCAAGTCACAGGGGCTGCTCTGGTGCAGGTCAGACCAACTATGACCGTTTATTTTGACCCTAACAACTTCGCTAGCATTTTAAGTTGTTTAATATTGCATTTTAATTGCATTACCACTACATTTGTTGACGTTGCTCCGACATCTTTTCTAGGTACTCCTTCTTCATAGTGCTGTATCCAATGGGGGCGTTTGTAAGTATTTAGTGGGGGTCATCTACTATCTGAATAGTTGCACTTCCACTTTGAAAAAGTCTTAAAAAGACGAAATCGTGACTAAGACCGTATCTTGTCTCTGGCATACCCTTTGATACCTAACAAATCTAAGCTTTATTCAGACGGACTCTACTCCTGTATATTTACTACGGAATTCTTTATGATACACGTTTGAATTTATTATATTTCATGTCATGCCTTCATATATAGCTCTACCAATCTGCCGATATCTCAGTTGGAGTAATGTGATATATTTTTGTGTGCCAGGGAGAGGTGTTGACCATGTATGCAGCCTTGAGCCCCATCAAAGAGGGCGCTCTAAATCTTGCAGGGATTCCATCAAGCCTCCAGGGGGCGTTCCAGTATTACTACTATCTCGTTCTAGCATTCCTGCTGGCCTGGGCACCATGTGAGTAAAACTACTTTTCAACCCTTACTATACGTATATAGAAATTCCCGACAATCTAAAACATAAATCACCAAAAATCATAAAATCATTTTTGGTAAAAAAAATCGAGTTTTCGTCCATTCTACATAACTTTGATGACGGATATAAGCACAACTTACTGAGTTACGCACAACCCGCCAATAACATTATGTATGCGTATCCCTACATAAAACAAAAATGTAATGTGAATTGCAAATGAAAACATGGGCCTTACAATCCTATCAGGCAGCGTCAAAAGCTCTCCAGGGTGTTGGTAGGAGGTTCTACATGTTAAATGGATAGTCCTTAGTCATACAAGCTATAAAGCCAAGATGTACTCGTAGGTGGTATAAATTTAGTTTAGTAGTACTTGATACAGAGTTGTGTCTCTTTTCCAGGCTGGTGGCCAATCTACATGCACATGTTCCGTCAGAGGAAGAAAGCGTTGGGCCGACCCGGGACGAAGGAGGAATGAGCAAAAGCAAATCACTCTGCCAATAAAACATCTTTCATCAACTTTCAACTGACTTCTTCTGATTTGTCTGAATATCTTTGCTTGCTTGTTGTTTTACTTGCAGATACAATTTCAGCATTATTATACATATAACAATAAACAAATACAGCTGTATAACAATAACGACTGGCTACAGGGCACAGTTTATGTACAATATCGTTATAATAATTGTGCATTAAACATTATCAACCTCACAACAATTATGGTCTCTATAGAAAATATCCTAATTTGCATAATTTGTGTATGTCATTAATTATACAAATGAAGCTAAGCATAACTACGTATTCTATATAAAACGAGTCAAGGCCCTGACAAAAAATATTTGAACCTCTACTAATAGAAAAGATCCTAATTTGCATAATTTATGTATGTGAAGCGAAGCATAACTACGTATTCTATCAAACGAGTCAGGGCACTGACAAATTACATTTGAACCTCTACCAAGCAGGATCATAACAAACAAGATACCACGCATACATACATGTCTACTGGTCTATTTTGGGAAAGCCGGCTGCCAGGACCAAGAAAACACAAACGTTGGACGACAGAAATCTCCCAGGTTAGTTTGATGAAGTCTACACAGTTGGCAGTGTTAGGAGATGGCAAAGTTATAATTACATGTGCACGTTTATCTTCATGTGGTATTGAAGACTAAAACTAATTCGTATAAGCTTGGGGTAGTTGCTGGTGGTGACATTGTCTTAATTCGCACGGGAAGTTTACTTGTATTTACGCATGATATGTACGAGTATTGTACTCGTAACAATGGTTAAAACAAGCTGTTTGTGTCTGGAGGTTCTGCAAGGTATAATTTTAGGTCCTCCTACAAAAAATAAAGGCTGGATAGTCAGTGCCAAAATGGCAGCAAACAGCGTGTCAAAGGGTAACGTTCTGTTACTTGTATACATGTCGCCACAAGGAGCTACGCACGGGTATTACGAATTACTGTAACATGGAAAAAAGGAGCTAAATCTGTCACCTTTTGTGGTCTGTATTGAAGTATTTGTATCTTTCAACTGGATTGCATATAGTCCTTTTCTTTTGATTAGCATCTCTAGCCAATAAACATCAATAGGCAGGTTGCTTGTCAAATTTCAGATATGTGTATAGACAAGTTGATTTTTTAAATACCTATTCTATTCATATTTTGGAATACTTGTTTTTTTTCTTTATTTTTTAACGTTGGGTCAAAGTGATCAATGGCGAACCAAATTACTAGCTCCAACGATGACGAGATCTCGTACAGTCACGGTCACGGTGACCCCGACCTCCAGGTCAAAGTTCAAGACTGCACCTTCCACGTCCACAAGACGGTCCTGATGGAGACGTCCGACTACTTCCGCGCCATGTTGGAAAGTGGCATGAGAGAAAGTCGGGAAAACTCCGTCCAACTTCAAGGTTTCACGGCAGAAGCCTTTCAGATCCTTCTGGACTTTCTGTACGAATCCAAGCCAGTCAAAATGGACGATAAACTACACGGTGTTCTTGAGATGGCACAGTTTCTCCAGATGCGGCCAGTTCTGGACTATATCAAGAGTAAACTCAGCTGTGAGAACTGTGTCCATCTGTACATGCTGGCTGATACCTATGTGATCAGCGATCTGAAGGAAGATGCAGCACAGCTCATGGGGGACAATTATCTCAAGTTTCTTCGCTCGGAAGTTTTCGAAGAGCTGAGGGAGGAACAGCGAGAAGAGGTTCGGAAGACGCGCTTCAGACACCAGAAGTTCTTGTGTGGTGTGAACACGGGGTATGTGACGTGGCCCGAGCCAGGTCCCAGGGAATTCATGTATTACGACAGCTCAAAGGTAATAGAAAAATATTACATATTTGATATGTTGGTTCTGATATCATGCTGTGTAGCCTCAATTCATAGGTTTATGTTGAAAAAGTTGAAAATATATAGGAATCTTGCTTTTTGGCCCACCTTGTTTTTCTCGCTCTATCGCATCAAATTTGGACGAGGATGTGATCCATAAAATTTACTTGCTGTGGCCTTAGTATATTAAACAAATAAAAAAGTGCATTGTTCTTCATTGATTTACCAACTCAGGACGTCTGGAAATTGTTGACTCAAAAGCCCGAACAGGCCTGCAGACGGGGATGGGGCGTGGCCGTCCTGGACAACTACATTTACGTCATGGGGGGGTACAGCACTCCGAGGTCTATCCATCCTTCCGGCGACGGCGACGTTCAAGCCTACAACTTCTGCTACGATCCTGTGAAGAACAAGTGGACGGAGGAACGCGCGATGAACGAAGCCAGGGCTTATTTTGGCGCAGTGACTCACGATGACTCGGTCTACGCCATAGGCGGGTTTCAATATCACTTTCCTGTGCAGACAATGGAGAGATACATCCCTGAACAGGACAGGTGGGAGTTCAGACGGTCCTTACCTGGAGACTGGACTAACTACGATCTAGCTGTCGTCTGCAAGGGAGACATTTACGTCAACTCGGAAGAACGATGGGAGGAAACGTTCTCCCTTCTGAAGTACGTAACAAGCATCAACCAATGGGAGATTGTTTCTGAGCTGCCCAGAAAACGGGACAAGAACAGTATGGTGGCGGTGGGAGAAACCATCTACCTTCTCGGTGGACTTGTTCCCGGTGTAGACTGCTTCAACGTCACAACGAAACAGTGGTTCGTACTTGAAGACCACCCGGCCACAGAGGCTATTCACTACGAGAAGGGCTGTACGGAAATGGACGGGACGATCTACGTGTTAAACGGTGATGACATGGCATGTTATATCCTGGAAGCGCAGACTTGGGTGCAGGGGTTGTCAGCCTTCCCGGGAGGGGTCAACACCAACAAAGCAATCGTCGTGCATCTGCCACCTGAAGGGCAAGTTTTGTAGTTCTGTGATGGTCTACAAGACCTCTCTAGCTTGACGTTTCCACTCACTGAAATAGTCCACCAGCAGTACGTTTACCACGTGTAAAACTAGCTATAGGTATGTATGTGTAGGGTACGTACCTTCAAATAAGATGTACTCCAATGCGGGTCCAAATTGGACTGCTGGTTGTAGCCGGCTGGTCGACGAAGGTATAGGATTGTTGAACTCCTGTTTTCTACATGTATATCTTTATATCCATGGCTAATGAATTTCCATCGGGCCTAGCTTTTGTACACGTTACTATAATTGCACTGTTTGAAATGTTAACAGGCCTAGGCTGGATACATGTCAAGAAAGAAAACAGACTGTTTTCATTACCTTCTGTATTCAACATACATGTACATGTTAACAGCATAAATTTATCATATGCATTTGAATACAGTGTAGTGTCATCGACATTATCATTATTGTGATTATTGTGTTACAAAGACGCAATAATCTGCGCTCATATGGCATACTTCACACATACTAAACCTACGATATGCGAAGAAATAAAAATGAAATCGTGGATTCCAGATCTCTATGTTTCTTTAATAGTATCCACATGCAATAATATGCAGACGACGATGAGCAATCCGACAATTTTCAACGTCATTGGCATCGGTTTCTACAATTGAATCATAACTCTGGGAATGTGGGTGGGTTGTCTCAAGTTTTTAGTGTATCCTTCAAACTAAAATAGCTAGAGATGGTGGTGTCTTTCGCTTCATTCATATTTCATTCACTTTTTACCAAGGCCAAAAAGGAATCGGTAAATGCTTGGAGGGTCAGTGTTGTGCGTGGGCAAAAAAGATGGCAATGCAAAAGTGTATCACCAGATGTCGCTTTTGACTTACAAACATAGTCTCACAACCAAATTTCAAAACGATGGCGAACTAACAGTTTCAAATGTTCTGTCGTCCAGGGGGCAGATGCACTACGATAGCCTTGTTAGCATTACACCCTCCCGGAAAGGCTGACAACCCCTGCACCCAAGCCTGCGCTTCCAGGATATAACGCGCCATGTCCTCGCTATTCAACACGTAAATCGTCCCGTCCATTTCCGTACAGCCCCTCTCGTACGCTATACCTTCTGTAGCTGTGTGGACTTCCAGTAAGAACCATTGTTTTGTCGTGACGTTGAAGCAGTCTACACCGGGAACGAACCCACCAAGAAGGTAGATGGTTTCCCCAGACACCGCCATGCTGTTCTTGTCTCTTGCACGAGGTAAAAACGAGACCACGTCCCATTGGTTGCTACGAGCCGTGTATTTCAAAAGCGCAAACTTTCCCGAATCTTCGTCTTCCGAGTTGATGTAAATGTCCCCCTTGCAGAAGACGGCTAGATCGTAGTTAGTCCAGTCTCCGGGTAAGGGCCGTCTGAACTCCCACCTGTCCTGTTCAGGGATGTATCTCTCCACAGATTTGACAGGGAAATGATACTGGAACCCACCGATAGCGTAAACAGACTCATTGTAAGCTACTGCTCCAAAATAAGCTCTGGCGTCGCTCATAGAGCGAATTTCTAGCCAGTTGTTCTTAACAGGGTCATAGCAGAATGAATCTCCTAGGACTGCACCATCGCCGGAGGGGTGTCCGAGAAAGTGTTTGCTGTACCCTCCCATGACGTAAATGTAGTTGTCCAGAAAGGCCACGCTCCACCTCCTTCTGCCAGCCTCCTCTGGCTTTTGCGCAAATGTTTTCCAGGAGTCCTGTAAATGTAAACAAAAAGACAGGAAATATTTACTTTATTCCAGTATGTATTGTTTCATTTCCACCAGTATCATTTATAATTATATATATATATATAGGCCTATTGAAACTGAAATACTGGAATAAGACGTGTCGTGTACAGCAATGTTGTTACCTTTGAGCTGTCGTAATACATGAATTCTCTCGGACCTGGCTCGGGCCACGTCACATACCCCGTGTTCACACCACACAAGAACTTCTGGTGTCTGAAGCGCGTCTTCCGAACCTCTTCTCGCTGGTCCTCCCTCAGCTCTTCGAAAACTTCCGAGCGAAGAAACTTGAGATAATTGTCCCCCATGAGCTGTGCTGCAGCTTCCTTCAGATCGCTGATCACATAGGTATCAGCCAGCATGTACAGATGGACACAGTTCTCACAGCTGAGTTTACTCTTGATATAGTCCAGAACTGGCCGCATCTGGAGAAACTGTGCCATCTCAAGAACACCGTGTAGTTTATCGTCCATTTTGACCGGCTTGGATTCGTACAGAAAGTCCAGAACGATCTGAAAGGCTTCGGCCGTGAAACCTTGAAGTTGGACGGAGTTTTCCCGACTTTCTCTCATGCCACTTTCCAACATGGCGCGGAAGTAGTCGGACGTCTCCATCAGGACCGTCTTGTGGACGTGGAAGGTGCAGTCTTGAACTCTGACCTGGAGGTCGGGGTCACCGTGAACGTGACTGTACGAGATCTCGGATATCGCATTAGTCTTCGCCATTTCACTTTTCCTATCCTGCAAATTCAAGGAAGAACGTCAGTATACTCACCATAACGTTTTGGGGAATATTGTAATTGCGTGATTATTTGTAACTTTATTTTTCGCTGTTAAACAAAATGAGGTGACAATATTGATGGATTGAACACGAATTACTCTTCAATGATGGTTCAGGTTGTAGCAATGATGACAATCCCTTTATAGGCTGATGACTTTACTGTGGCAAACACAATCTTGATAGTAATAGGGCGGTACTCACTTAAATGAAATACAACTGCGTATGTACCTCCACTGAATGTCAACATGCGCCCGGCTGTGACCCCATTACACATTAGTCTATTTTAACTCCCGTATTGGTGCTGCCCTCTGACCTCCTCTTCTAAAAGTAGACCTATGTCACCCCTCCTCCATCGTTCAAGCATGAACAGAGGTTTGATTTTGTCTTACGTAGTATACAGCAAACTGCTTGATTTGAAAAACATCAACAGTAGACTCAACGTGCTCTGCCGTGCCATTATGACAGTGTCTGCATCAAGTATCACATTCCAAAATTCTGAACATAGCAACAGTTTTCGAAACGTTCAATGACCGCCTTAGCTTGTAAAGGCAATGTCATATTGTGTGTGAATTTGAAGTTCCTCCTACCTATTCTGCACAAACCTGAAATATTCTTGTCTGCTGTGTTTATTCTCTCTTAAGCCGCATGAAGGTTTGTATTCCCTTGCTGGTTCGGACGGCCGGCCTTCCAAAAATAGAGCAGCCTGACAGATGACGTATGTGAAATAGTATCGCTTGGCAAGCTTTCAGATATAACGTTACTTCGTAACTGCCTTCTTCTTCTATGCAGAGTACGAAATGAACTATTTGTGGACGGTTTCGTTGATTTAGATACATTTCAATTGATTGCCTAATGTCTAAATCAATAGGATAAAACCCATGGCGTTGACACAGACAGAGTCCGGCTGCAGAGAAAATGGCGACGAGATCTCGTACAGTCACGTTGACGGTGACCCCGACTCCAGGTCAAAGTTCAAGACTGCACCTTCCACGTCCACAAGACGGTCCTGATGGAGACGTCCGACTACTTCCGCGCCATGTTGGAAAGTGGCATGAGAGAAAGTCGGGAAAACTCCGTCCAACTTCAAGGTTTCACGGCCGAAGCCTTTCAGATCGTTCTGGACTTTCTGTACGAATCCAAGCCAGTCAAAATGGACGATAAACTACACGGTGTTCTTGAGATGGCACAGTTTCTCCAGATGCGGCCAGTTCTGGACTATATCAAGAGTAAACTCAGCTGTGAGAACTGTGTCCATCTGTACATGCTGGCTGATACCTATGTGATCAGCGATCTGAAGGAAGCTGCAGCACAGCTCATGGGGGACAATTATCTCAAGTTTCTTCGCTCGGAAGTTTTCGAAGAGCTGAGGGAGGAACAGCGAGAAGAGGTTCGGAAGACGCGCGTCAGACACCAGAAGTTCTTGTGTGGTGTGAACACGGGGTATGTGACGTGGCCCGAGCCAGGTCCGAGAGAATTCATGTATTACGACCACTGTAAGGTAAGGTACCAATAAAGTGTAGCTGGAAGCAAGTGGATGTACATAGCTTGGCTGGTGCACAGTTTTTATCGATGTTTGTAACCTTTGCTGGTATCACAAACATACTAAGAATAGACGACGTTTGGTAAAATGAAAAATGAAGAAAAAAAGTTTCTAAGCTTGCTTGCTTTTGATATGCTGTCAGCAACAGCATTGGCCCTGTCCTTGGTGCTGATGTTTCAATCCTGGGCTACCATTGGTCTAGCTGTGTTATGCAGTGGCCTTGTCCTAGGTGCTGATGTTTCAATTCCGGGCTACCATTGGTCTTGCTGTGTTATAGAGTGGTCCTGTCCTTGGTGCTGATGTTTCAATCCTGGGCTACCATTGGTCTAGCTGTGTTATAGAGTGGTCCTGTCCTTGGTGCTGATGTTTCAATCCTGGGCTACCATTGGTCTAGCTGTGTTATAGAGAGGTCCTGTCCTTGGGGCTGATGTTTCAATCCCGGGCTACCATTGGTCTAGCTGTGTTATAGAGAGGTCCTGTCCTTGGTGCTGATGTTTTAATCCCGGGCTACCATTGATCTAACTGTGTTATAGAGTGGTCCTGTCCTTGGTGCTGATGTTGCAATCCTGGACTACCATTGGTCTAGCTGTGTTATAGAGTGGTCCTGTCCTTGGTACTGATGTTTCAACCCGCGGTCACCGACTATATTACACGAAAAGTTGGATTTACCAATGTTAGTTAATGCCAGTAAAGTCGGATAGTGCATGGTAGTAAATGACAGTTATGTCCTGTAATTTCATTTAGTCCGGTAGTGTTTACGGGATAAGCATCACTCTACTTTAGTAGCATTTGCTACCATTGTTAAAGTCAACTTTTCGTACAGTGCTGCCGGTCCAGCTGTGTTGAGAGTGATAATATTGAATGATCTATCAATATGTTACTACATGCAACACTCGTCTATGTTTGTATTCGGCAGGATGTTTGGAAAACATTCACAGAAAAGCCGGAACAGGCCTGCAGACGGGGATGGGGCGTGGCCGTCCTGGACAACTACATTTACGTCATAGGTGGTTACGGAAAACCGCGGTTCGGCCATCCGTCTGGCCTCGGAGACGTGCTGTCTGTGTCCTTCTGCTACGATCCTGTCAAGAACAAATGGTTCCAGATACGTTCCCTTGGCGAAGCCAGGGCTTACTTCGGAGCCGTGGTTCACGACAGGTCTGTTTACGCCATCGGTGGATTCCAGTACGACTATACGGTAAAATCTGTGGAGAGATACATCCCTGAACAGGACAGGTGGGAGTTCAGACGGTCCTTACCCGGAGACTGGACTAACTACGATCTAGCTGTCGTCTGCAAGGGAGACATTTACATCAACTCGGAAGACGAAGAGACCGAGAAGTTTGCGCTTCTGAAGTATGTGTCAAACTCCAATGAGTGGGAGATTCTCTCTCCCCTGCCCAGAAAACGGGACAAGAACAGTATGGTGGCGGTGGGAGAAACCATCTACCTTCTCGGTGGACTTGTTCCCGGTGTAGACTGCTTCAACGTCACAACGAAACAGTGGTTTGTACTTGAAGACGACCCGGCCACAGAAGCTATTCACTACGAGAAGGGCTGTACGGAAATGGACGGGACGATCTACGTGTTGAATAGCGAGGACATGGCGTGTTATATCCTGGAAGCGCAGACTTGGGTTCAGGGGTTGTCAGCCTTTCCGGGAGGGTGTAATGCTAACAAAGCTATCGTTGTGCATCTGCCACCCGAACGACAAGGACTGTTGTAGGGTCGGAATGAATCATCAGGCACTAAAACAGTTTAATAGTAAGCCTAACACACATTAAACAATACTATTAGGGAACCGTGAAATGGTGATACAGGCACTATTTACGGTGTTCGAAATTCGTGTGAGAAAATATTTGCTAATATCAAGTACGTAATTTGCATTTTATCAACGTTATGCTGAAGGCTTCATTTGAAAATGTTTTGCAGTTGCCAGCTTTTCCGACAGGTGGTGTTCTTCGTATTCGTCAACTAACACTGCAGTTGACGTTGTCGTTGTCAAAATGTCACCCGAATAAGTCATACCAATAAGACAGCGGTTGGAAAGTTTTGAAGCAAGCCAAATAGCAACTTAGCTACGCCTCCTGAATTTAACCATAAGTTCAAATTAGGGATACTATTGGCATGTTGATTGTTGTATCGCTCAGTCCGTAGGATATACCACAAAATGATCACCATATACGATATCATTAGGATGCTTAAAGTTAAAACTTTTGATCCAACACAAAAAAAAATCTCTCACCTATACCGTTTTTGTGTTGGATCAAAAGTTTTAACTTTTAACTTTAAACATGTAACTTTCATGATGATATTATTAGGATATAGTTTAAATCTAAAACCAACGTTAGCAGAGTTACGAACGTGACTCAGTGGTATAAACTTATTGTATCTTTTTTTCGTAATGTTGACACAGATCTAGATATACGACAACGTCTTACTTGACGAGAATTCTGTACGACACACCCACTTCTGTCCTAAGACTGTTTCCCATGTCATAAACCTATCGTGTAACGTATATGACAGGCGGGGGCTTTATACAAAAACTGTCAACATGCCCGACAAGATGCCTCTGAGACATCTTGTCATTCCCTCTCCTTCTTCTCCCTGCCACTATAACGTACCTCCCCCGTCAATGGGATAATCCTGACAAGGGTTTATTGTGAAAATCGTAGCCTGCGATAACGGAAACGAATGTACGTGTGGCCAATTTCGTGCTAGTACAATCTCGGGTCTAAATCTTTGCCAGTGGGGCAGCCCCGGGGCTGGAATTTCAGATTGTATGGAAAACGCCATCTTATCTCGCCTGTGACTGTGGTCGTTTTCGGCACATATGAATAGATAAAAGGCCCACAGACAACACTATGCAAAAGAAAAGGATTTTCTATAGATTCCTACAGTGTTGATGAGAGTGACAGCGGTGATTGTACCCCTCCTGGGCAACATTATTGACATGTGTCGGTGCGCGACAGGATATGAGAAAATTTGTACGCAGAAGACGATCTAAATGACTACACTTCCTTTGGCAGCTTACGGCGTGAAGATATGCCGTAGATATGCCGGTATTTTACACACATTGTAACGTGGATACACATGCATGGTTTCATCTCTCTGCTTCCTTTACAGGATGAAATAATGGTGCATTAAAGATGATTCCTTTTTATAGTAGAGTCACATTTTGTCAATGCATAATAGGGAGAAGGAAGTTAGATATTATCAATTATCAAATTATCACAGTTATTATTTCCACATGATTATTTCTCTGAAATTTCGTAAATATGACGCATGGTCATTAGTTATAACAATGCAAATCCGTTTTTAAATGCAGTATTGTGGATAGTCAGTACTATGCAAGATGGTACAATCATTCTGTAGTTACTGTGGAGGTCCCATACAGCAGATGAAGTTAAAACTCGGTTGCTTTGAGCTGTCGTCGTCCCTTGAGAGTCACGGCTGTTGCCATTGACGACGAAAGTTTAAAGGAAACAATGAAATATGGACGTCTGATGCCTCTTTATCAAACCATGTCATAACGGGGGGATTTCCGTTCTTTGTTGGAAGTTTGGAGCGTATTTCAAGAAGTTTCTGGTCGGCTTCTTGGCAATGATCGACGAAGAAAAGTTGAGCCGGCGCCATGGGGGCGTTCATTCTCTGTGGGGGTAGCGCGGTGTCGCCCCCAGGCCCGCCAAGCCTGGCTGTGCGAGCGGCACTCATCCCGCGTTCTCATTATTACTTTTGCTTGGCATCAAATCAAAGTCCAGGATTTTCTCTGGAGGAATCCCTGCACCCCCAGGCCCAGCCGGAAGAACCAAAGGGATCTCAAATAAACGTAATGAAAAGAAATACGTCAAACATTCAGATCTATATATTCAGCGCAAACTTCAATCTAGTACACACGTCAATAATACGGGTATGAATTGTGAAGAACAGGCGCTCCCAGGCAGGCTTATTTCTCTTTAATTTGTATTTTTCCACACATGACAAAATACACGGCGATTCGGAGGATCTAGGGTTATTCTGGTTCAGTGAGCTTTTTCGTACGAGCTCGACTTCTTGGCACTGTGGTGGAACCTCGCGCGATGTTACCCGCTGGCGAAGAGTCTGATCGCCTTACAAATAACTTCACATACACACCGTGTCTCCACAAATACGGAGAGACCATGCACTTGGGAAGCTTTATCCGTATGGGCTACTCCACCTGACGTAAAATTAAGGGGCGATATTTCTGAGAGTTACGAAAAAAAACTCAATGTGTGTATGGGTGTAAAATGGGTCGAAATATTCGCGTAAACGAATCCCATGAATAGTGTTGGTGCAACCAAAAGCGCAACGTATTGGTCTGAAATTTTTTGTTGCATCCCTCCCACAAATCTTCGAGATGGAATAGCCCAACAAGCAACATACATAGATGTATAACACTACTGGCTTACATATGTACATATACAAATATTGCCATTATATATTCTTTTAGAATTATTTTTACGGGTTAGTCATAAAATACTGCGAAACTTTGCAAATTGATGCAACGTATGGTGCGTTATCACAGAAAACATCATTGTTATGACAAGGATGACCTTGTTTTTAGATATACAGATTGAGAATATAACCTGGGACATCATCGTTATAGAACATTGACTTCATTTTCTGTACAGACTAAGTTTATACATAATACATGTGGAACATAAATATATGTCTACGATACGATTGAGTACTAGTTTGTACTAAAGAAGCCTCTCCAAAAATTTAGCTATATCAATGTCTGTGAATAGAGAAAACTAACGATTTTGTAGGTACAGCACTAGACAACAGACAAAAAAGAGTAGTTTCCGATTTTTTGGTCAATTTCGTTTCTGCAGAAGTTTTAAAAGGAATACATAGCAATTCATCGATCTAAATTTTGAAATTTTGAGAGTGACCAAGCTGTTTTGAGACGGGAATTTTGAGAATGGGGTTGTCACTCCCCACGGATCTTCTCACGTTTAGGTGATCTGTATCAGTCTTCAATGGGCTCTTCCTTTATTTTGACAGGGGGGACTCTCCGTTCACGGCACAGCACGTACTCGCTGAACTGGGAGTTCTCCACGCCGCCTCCACACGAGGCGCGGATCCTCAGTCCGTTCTGCAACATCCTCTGCAACACCTGAAGAAAATACAGTAAGGTGAAAACTTGAGCAGGCCCTGCTAGAGACGGGGGGCGACACAGGTTATCTGACACGTATGACCCTCTGCTGCAATCACGTGTTTCCGACGTCACGTCCCGGAAGCTGCAGTAGACGGGTCCATCTCGTGAAGATAGCCGAAAATTTGGGTAAGTCCCAATTTACTTAGTGTTGGACATACATAACGTTTATATCCTTTTCGTCATAATGAAGTATACCAACACAGATGAACTTTATTTCATGCTGGAGCAGGCCTCTTAAATCAACTGATCACCTTAAAAGGCTTCAAATAAAATTTCAGGAAGAAAGAAAGAGGAAATCTGTCTGATATTGATATTTATAGTCATTTCATACATTAAGCATTTGAAATAGCCCCAAAGCATGCTACATGAAGAGTCCCTTTATTTTTTGGTACCACCAATAAATAGCTAGAACCAGCTTACGACAGGAAACAAGCAACCGTTAGCGACATCGCATTTTGCCTCACAGATATCAGTATGCTATGGGGGTAGGGTTTAACTTACTACATTTAAAAAGAACCAGAAAATTGACTTTGAAAAAATCAAGTTTTAATGTGCTGAAATTGTGAGATTGCTTTGGTTGCCTTTAAGCAACACAAATTTCTGGAATCTACGACCATTTCTCGTCATATTTTCGTCAATGGCGCTGCGAAAGACAGGGAAGTTTCCGTGGTAAATAACCGGATAGTTGGGGGCAAGGTTCCCCCCGAAGCAGGCAGGTTTGGCAGCGGGCCCTCTCTCATCATCTGTACCCTGTCACCGACACTTGACAACCGCTGCGGGCAACAATGCCAACACGTCTGGATTTCAGCTCCACTTTTCTGCCAATGCACCTCGTCTTTAAAACACTATCCCTCAAATCTCTTCACTAAGGCCAAAGCAATTTTATTTGTTGGTTCTCGGATTCGCCTCTTCATTTTGTTCTGATTTGCAACAAAAAAAAACGATTCTGGTTCTGCACCAACTCAAAAATGCTCATATTTTGCCCCCAAGAGAATGAAAGGAAAGTCCTTTCATTCCTAGTTGTTACATTTGTTCCATCTATCAATGCAGCGGTTTGATTAAAAGTTCAAAATTCATTGTTTAGATGTTAACCCAGCCTGGTGTGTTGACTTCATGGCTCCTATTGTAGTATTTGGGGCTATATTAGGATGCCTTGACCTGTTTTTTTCGCCCTGTCACTTGATAGTTTTTCTGAAAAAATTAAATCCGACAACCAACAGATTAAATTGGTGTGGCCTAAGTCTTTCCCTAAATGCATTAAACGGAACGGCAACTTCTTAGCTAACCTGATATTGCTGCTTAGATTTCTACTAGGATTAGAATTGTCAACGTCGATATGTTTAATGAGAAGGTCCCTATGTTTTGTTCAGTGTACAAGGACGGTAGACCAACTTTGGGGATACACGAAAAGAGTAGCAACTTTCAGCAATTGGTCTCCTCACTGTAGTCGGTATACGAGCGATCGCTGATTTTTTACATGATATATATGCATATTATAGACATATGCAAATAATTGGTAGGCCAACCGCCACCCGCTTTTTGCCTACGTACTGTGAAGTCATGGCAATCACTCGTATTTTGGAACAAGAACAATGTGTAGAAAATCCACGTTCATAGAGTATGTTAGAAAAAGTGGCATGGGTTTATGACGACTCACTTGCACGAAATTGAGACTGCAAAACCCGTTCAGCGGAAACCTGATGACCTGGTGCGCGTCGTGGTTCCACCCCGCATGCGCCGAGTTGCACACGGCACCACTGACCTCCGGAAACAGTTCTTCGATCAGCGCTCTCTCCCCGCTCACACACACCTGTGATTGGCAGGACCATATAACGTAATTAGAAAGGTAACATTTGCAAAGTAAATGTTTACCTTCGCATATTGTCTACTCTGTTAATTCTTACTTAAACACATTCATATAAATGGTCAGACAGAAGTCTAAATCCCTCCTGCTATGAAATTGCAACATGATGTAACCCAACACTAGTTACCATGGTGACAGACTTCTGGTTCAGATCATTGGTTTGGAGAAGAAGAAGAGGATGAAGCAGAGCAAAAACAATGTGTTTTCCTTCCTTCCTCGCTTATGATTATGTTGTTTATTGTTTATTGTACTTCTTTGATTACATGCGAATAAACATACAAACTGATGACACTACTCACCCTTTCACCGAGCTCCGGACTGACGTGTATCACGATGACGTCACAAATCTTGTTGTAGTATTTCCCCTCCCGCCATTTCTCCAAGTCGGCGACCAGGGGATGGATCTCGAAAAACCGTGCCTCCTACGGAAAGGTACCGGAAAGATCAGTTCACAACAACAGTGCGGTACAGCCTCTTGGTACGGTAGACAATATCTGCGACCCAAGAGCTAGTCATTTTATACGACCTAAGAGCTAGTCACACCTATAATGTTCACAAATCAAGAAAATAACAGAATAAACCTGAAGAAAGATAAGAACAATTGGACCTTAACTGCACACCACGAATGGTCTAAACATAGCCTCTACCAGGCACCGCGGATCACTAGAAAAATATAGTAGAAATTGGCCGAAATAAAGGGATAGTATACCAGAGAAGATCCCCGGCCATAGAAGATCCAATTCGCGACCCACGGATCTTCTATGGCCCGGGATCTTCTCTGGTATACTATCCCTTTGTTTCGGCCAATTTCTACTATTTTTCCAGCGATCCGCGGTGCCTGGTAGAGGCTAATGTCTATTCATAAACCTCAAATGATTAAAATCCCATTGGAAACTGAATTATTTCATTCACAAACAAAAAAGGTTCCGACTATACATAGCATTCAAATGGACATGGAAAGACCTACATAACAACTGTGCCAGAAATCATTCTACGCGGAAAGCTATCGACAAGACGTCACCAAATATTGATCATCCCTTCCTGTGCAGACAGCCCGTGCACTCTGGGGTAAACCCCGGCTGACTTCTTGTCCAAACGTCTATAGACGTCCCCGGAATCACGGTCCGCATACTCATGAGCTAACACACCTTTCTAGTGTGATAAGAATTTATGTGAGGATGTCTGAAGGGTGAGGTTGTATTTCGTTTCGATATTAGAAATTTTAAGATCTGAAATTAGACATGTAGCTATAGTGAGCTTCCTTGAAACACGCTTAGAATTTATATTTTTATTAGTAGTAGTAATATCTTACAATACCTGCAACACAATTGTGGGTAGCTTTTAGTTTTGGGAAACAATGATATCGTTTTGGGCCCCCTAACGACTTTCTCAGAAACTGCAGGGTTGTGTTTCTGTTGTTGGAAATTGGATAACTCAAGAAGGGATTGGTGGATTTGCAAGATAATTTGCATATTGGTGATGACTTAGATACAGATTTTTTCCGTACCTCGTACAGGTTGTCGAACGTGCCGAAGTTGTCCGGCAGCAGGAGTTTGCCCGTGCGGAGGTAGTTGAGGATGAAGCCGAACATCTCGCCGTCCCGGTCGATGAAGTAGTGCTGTTTCAGGCTGTCCAGCACGATGGGCTCGCTGCCGTTAAACAGGCGACCCAGACGGGACTCTGGGTACTGAAAATGTGCACACATCGTTAAGTCAGTCACAGATGAAATTGAAGGAGCTCAACAGAAACTTGATCATGATCATGTGTTCTTTTTCCGTCATTCTTCCTTTTTTATCCTCTTTCTTTCTTCCCGCCTTTCTTATATTCCTTTCAAAGTCTGCCCCTGGACAGACTCGAAAGAAGGCGTCCAGCGAGTGTGTAAAAGAGGAGGTGTAAGTCGTTGTAGCTTTGCGAGTGTAGATGTAAGTGTGGAGAGAGAAGAGGTGTAGATGCGAGTGTGGACAGAGAAGAGGTGTAGATGTGAGTACCTTGGCGAGTGTGGAGAGAGAAGAGGTGTAGATGAGCGCACCTTGGCGAGTGTGGAGAGAGAAGAGGTGTAGATGAGCGTACCTTGGCGAGTGTGGGGAGAGAAGAGGTGTAGATGTGCGTACCTTGGCGAGTGTGGAGAGAGAAGAAGTGTAGATGAGCGTACCTTGGCGAGTGTGGAGAGAGAAGAGGTGTAGATGTGAGTGTGGAGAGAGAAGAGGTGTAGATGTGAGTGTGGAGAGAGAAGAGGTGTAGATGCGAGTGTGGAGAGAGAAGAGGTGTAGATGTGAGTACCTTGGCGAGTGTGGAGAGAGAAGAGGTGTAGATGTGCGTGCCTTGGTGAGTGTGGAGAGAGAAGAGGTGTAGATGTGAGTACCTTGGCGAGTGTGGAGAGAGAAGAGGTGTAGATGAGCGTACCTTGGTGAGTGTAGAGAGAGAAGAGGTGTAGATGTGAGTGTGGAGAGAGAAGAGGCCAGTGTAGATGTGAGTGTTGAGAGAGGAGGTGTAGATGTGGCAGTGGATGTGAGTGTAGAGAGAGAAGAGGTGTAGATGTGCGTACGTACCTTGGCGAGTGTGGAGAGAGAAGAAGTGTAGATGTGCGTACCTTGGCGAGTGTGGAGAGAGAAGAGGTGTAGGTGAGCGTACCTTGGCAAGTGTCGAGAGAGAAGAGGTGTAGATGTGCCCGCCCACGTCGATGTGCACGGGCGCCTTCTCCCGGCAGGGGGACGCCACCCTGGGGATCCCCGACATCACCACCTGAACCCCGTTGGTCTCCGTGGTGACGGCTCAAACAGACCTGGAGGTTACATTTAAAAAAACATGTAGTTTAGTAGTGGAAGCAAGCGGTAAAACAATCAACATCAGACTGAGCCGAAGCGCGATAGCCTGGTGTGTTGCTACGCCAAGGGGCAGTTATACCGGATATACAAACAGCTAAATTAAGTTTGTAACCAGGGTAGACGCGTGACGCTTTGTCGATAGCTCGGAGCGCAATGCGGCCTCGTCACAGCTCCATTTTTTTCAGCCAAGCACACCGGTCACCCTTACCCTTCTCGATAAGTGTGCTGGGTTTTTTAAGGTACAGAAGTTTGACTACCCAGGCTAACGCCTGAAACTCGCACATAGCCACCGACTCTATAAGACCCTTGTCTCTACCAGACTAACTACGCTGGATATATATAGGAGAATAATTGGGAGTTTGGCCCCCTTGTAGGTTTGAATGGCCACGACTTTCCACAGGCCTTCGGAGGGAAAGAAACTACCTCCCCGCGGCCGGACTCCCTTGGCCCATTCTACTCTCTTTTTTCCCGCATTCTACGATCCGTACTCCCGTAGAAAGGCTGGTGGAGGCTAATAAGACCCCATCTGAATGGACTAGCGCAACTACTTACACTGTGCCCAAGCAGGGTTCGAACCTCCGCTCTCTGGATTTCCGATTCCCTGATATTCCCAGGGCTGCGTTGCTAGTTTTGTGATCTGTGACAATGGGAGGCGTCACAGGGCAGTATGGGCAAGAAGGCGAAGTCTGCCATCCGATTGCCTTATTAAGTTTCTTAATACACTTATTACAGGAAAATGTCCCATAGACTTTGGGGCGTCTTCTAAAGTCTAAACCCAGTTTCTGAGAGTTAGGAATCGGATCAAGGCATGATACAAAATCCGCTTTGTGTGTCCTATTTGTCTGGCGCAATTTGAACGAATAACAGTTTCCGCTGCTTTGAGTAAATGATACTATAAGTTCATCTATCTTCTTACTGAAGTTTCCGAAGACCTGGTAATATTATAGCGTTTGTCCGGTCTTATATTATTAAAACTTGGAATGTGTATGATTTTGGCGCACGCACTTCTTAAAAGAAGAACTTTATTGCACGACAGTTATACATGGTACAATGTATGGCAACGACTACTGAACAGAGTACAAAAAAGAAAAGGGTATATCTAATGAGAACGAACACCTTAATTACTAAACATCAAGAGCTAATATAGTATACAATCAAGTATGACTATTCATTAGTTTCGCATTTTTTTCTGATAAAAACAGTCTTTTGTGTATTTATCTATCTTTGCACTGAACGAGTTGCTGCATTTGAATATTATATATATAAATATGGGGTCCACCATGTCTTCACCTATTGAAGACGAATAGAAAACGTACTTGGGTGCTGTGTCTTGGGAACATGCCGGTGTAACAAGGCAAAATATAAGCCCCGGTCATAGTGGACAGGGTACATACAGACCAGGGGTACATTCTGGCCAGTTACACCGGGCTGTTCCAAGAAAGACGGTCGGGAGGGGAAGGGTGTTAAGGGAGGATGAAGACATCTTTAATCATGTCTATGCTGACTCATCCCCATACTTGACACTGAAGAACCTTTCTTTTAAATCAGACATTTTGTCTCACACTATCGTCTCAGACAGTAAACCTTAAGACGCGGCTTAAACTATCTTTGATCCAAAGGGGCGCAAGATTCGAATAATTGGCCATGTAAAGCATGCGATTTAGATCAAACGACAATGTTCTTATACGCTTGCCAAACGCCCCGGGATGCCCTAATCGAGTTGTGGGGGTCTTTGACTTCAATCAGGTTCAACACTTTCTGAAAATGGAGGAAGGGGCAAAGGGAGGGGGAACCAGATCTACAACTTTGAACTGCCTTCGCGTCGACGTTTTGATCTGATTTATTTGATTTATTTTATTGAAAAAGTGCAACAGTGCAATACACGCGGAACAGAGGCAGCTGTTGCTGGTGTTGTGTCCCGCACATAGAAACGCATACTGGACAGACAATACTCATTTTCACTTGAGTCTAGTGGGGAAAGTCGTGTTAAGTGCCTTTCCCAAGAGCACAAGATCAAGGGTACACGATGTTTTGTACGAGGCATTGACACTGCAAGCCTGGTAATCAGTTATTATGATAATCAACATTCTCAGCAGGTGGATTTTTTCTTTTCATACAGTACTACATTTGGCCTCGGGGGGAGGGGCAGAGGTGAGCTGTAGCCTTAGGCAGTGCACGCTTACCTTGAATATCAAAATTAATTTCTGCAGTTTGAAAAATTCAAAATTCAAGAGCACCTAAAAATTAATCCACTCTTTACATAAAGAGCTACCTACATACCAAAGCCATACAAACCCATTACTGTTCACTATTTACATTTAAGAGTGGGTGGGTGGGGGACGGGGTAACCGCAGTTAGTTTCAGAGTAGCATGAACCGTAGACAAGCACGAGTGGCAAAAAAAGTGGTCCGAGAGACCGGCCTGTTTTTGACGAAGCTTATCTGCGTGAAAAGACATTACAATCTGTTCATAGCATCGATATCTAGATCTTCTGGCATCCTGTTGACAAACCAACAAAGGGCAAAAATACAGTACAACATGTGCGGTGGCAACTAGGTTTAAACTTAGCATTTCCGTTCTGCCATTCATTATATCAAGCCCTTGTCACATACTCTCCAAGCAGATCCCTTTTGGTGGCAAGACAGTATCCATTAGCCAGAGAAGGTCGCCGGCCACCGACGGGTTGGTGGAGGTACCGACAAAAAAACGGCCTTATATAACTGAAAGCTAACGATCATTCCCTCACAACCTCTGCTTGGAGAGTACCTGTCACATACTTTGTAGGACGGTTCGCGACGGCAACAGATTGAGGACACTTTGTCTTTGTCGTACAAAATCACTCTCTCTATATATATTTATAATTGCCTTGTGACGAAAAATGTCGGGGATTCTTGTCGACGGTGTTATCTGTCATAGCATCACTGAAAACAGTGCGACAAAAAAATCGCCTGTCACGTTCTATCTAAATCAACATGTGATATGCCAGTAGGCGGCATATTGCGGGGTGTGGACAGCAAGGCAAAAGTACCACAGATAAAGAATACAATGTAATATGAGCGGAAATGACTCCTCTGCAAAATTATCTGGCTCTATCTAAACGCCATCGCTACAAGAAGAGCCACTTTTGATGACGACCGCTACCGACAGACATCGACTTGGACCACGACCAACCTGATACGACACAACCATGCAAGCCAAAATCACCGACAGAATATTTACTAAGAACGTAGGAAACTCCGTATCACAATTTTCATCTTTGTTTTAAGAAGAACTGCACCAAAGAGAACACACGAGCCCACCTGTTTCTCGCTGTGAAAGAGATCCTCGTTCCCCCGCGCGCACAACACCTTAGAGTGTATACAGCGAGCTTTCTTTCCCCTCGGTTTATTTCTTCTTTCATATCTCCAAGCATCAAAATGTCATCCATCAATGGGACTTCACCATTCCAGTGACGCCGTCAATGGCGAGACAGACATGCCTGTAATATCATCCCGAGTCCTGGGTAGGAACGCGCCCGCAGTCCGGGCCCCCGGGCGGCATTGGGTGGTATAAAGTTTGGTAGTCTAGCGTAACTCGCAGTGAAGCACTTTTGACTGGCGCGTATGATTCATGGCGAATATTCCACGGCGTCGTTTCAGGATAGCCGTTATGTGTTTTCAAGGGATTATACGGGGTAACTTTTACTTCTGTGGACCGCTAAAACTGAGGGAATGAGTGGGCGATTAAATCTACCTGTTCATCACTTTTCTTATTGAGGGCATCGATGATAATTCACACACATAGCAAGACTTGTTTTATTTTTTCATACACGTTTCCCCCCTTTTTAGGAATCTCGAATATGGACGGTTATTCAAGCTGCACTAAAAGGAATGTCACTAGAATTTATATGTTCTTGCTGTATGAACTCTGTCCAACTCCCACTGTATCCCAGCCTTTGTCCGTACCTGGTGCTACACAATAGAAAGTCCCCTGCTGGGTGACATAACCTGGCTGCCACACCGGGTGCCACATCTGAATTTCTATCATGCTATTAAGAGATCATCTGATGACAAACCCCCACAAGCCCGCGAGTCACAGCTCAGTGCCGTCTTTAAAGTGGCGACTGAAAACTTGGGATGTACAATTTGGCGGGCCAACCCTAGCAAAGGTTACGGGTGCCCGCTGTAATGATTCGTCTCTGCGTCTTTATCTCTCCTCTCCTTGCTGCGCCCTGTGTAACCCCCCCTGCGGCCATGGCGCGCTTGTTGCCTGCGAGCCCCGCCATTCCCCCTAAATCGAATTACCGCGGCCTGGCAACTGCCACGGCCGCCAGCCTGTCCCAGGGATATTTCCTCCCGTTTGAGCCAATGGCAGCGCCTTCTTAGGAGCTTTCCAGACTTTTAACGTGCAGCTCGCGCCAGCAGGGGCAACCCCGCCTCAAGGCATCCGACCTTTGGAGGAAAACAACATCTTATGAGGTTTCGCCCCAATATCGCCCGGAGGTGGCTGCCCCTGCCGGCTGTACACCGTAGTCAAGTCGTCTGCGTGTTGAGATGGATGCACGCCAACGCAGATTTCAGAAGATTTAACTTCTTGCTCATCTGTTTGGTCCCCGACGCTAATTTCAAGTAGAAAGCGACCGGGGTATTAAATTCTGCCCGCGGACACCGTCCTAGCGACGCTTAGAACTCAATTTCGTGGCGCAGCACACAAGCATAGCCCGACGGTCCCCGCGATTTGCCCCAGTAGTTTGATTTCGTATAAGGCATTACGCCTGTCAGGGCTAAAAGAAAATTGGTCGCCCGGGGCCATCTCTCTGAATAAATAACAGATGTCTGTATTCAAGATCAGTTGGGGAAAGCAACCCGCGGCTGCGATTATCTATAGGGAAAATGGAAACCCGTAACTCACGACGCTGGAGCGAACCATTCAGCGCCGGAGAAAGAGAAGAAAGAGAGAACCGTTTGAACCTCCAGCTTAGAATTGGCTCAATCACTAAGACAACGGTACGGAACTGTGGGGGGAAGTTGTCGGCTTTGATAAATGCGGTAACAGGGCGTATCCGGTTGACCCGCTCGCTGAAACATAGCCGCACACCTTTGACTTTGGGCGCACAGGTAAGACAATACCACCCGTACTTAGCGGGCTCCCCTTCCATACCCACCGACATGCCTGCACCCGGTAAACACCACATCCTAACGTCAACGATTTTCAGTAACTTCGCGGTGAAGTAGCCAGGAAAACATGTTTTGAAAACAGCTGTGCCGAGATCGCGGAGGCAAAACCGTTCCGCGGAGGCAGAATGCGGAATCATCGCCCGGAGGCATAGACCCAGAGCCCAGGAAACACGACAGAAATGCGACACAACCGACACGATTTCTACCATTTCAGACACCTTACGGAGCAAACCGACTCACAAGTGTGGTCCTTGAGTGAACAGCACTTACCTGAACACGAAGAAATCGGGAAACTCTGCAAAGAAATGGCCAAAAACCCTGCAACGTGGCTGTGGCGAAAATTCGTGCGCGTTTACTTGGGGCTGAGCCGCCGCTAATGGTAGAGCGGAAAGAATTTTGGCTGCGGGCGAAATACAATATTATGGCTCCGGGCGACGCGCATTTCTAAGCCGCTCTGTGTGCGCTCATTCGGCGCCGATATCTCATCTCTCGTCATGACAAAAATCCTGTTTTCGGAAACAGAGACGGATAAGACAAAGATGAGCCCAACTACGTCAGGTCATAGGCAACGGCCGCTACCATGGCAACCGGTGACGACCACGCCCTTTCAACAGTCAACTTTCCCCGCCAGGACTAGCATTGAAAGGTACCATTTAATAGGACTGTAAACTACTGCAACATGCTTCGTTAGGCATTTGACTTGTGGGCTTGCCTTTCAGGTAATATTACAGTTCTGTAAAAAATCGTGCGTGCCTAGCCAATACATTATGTTTATGTAACGGTGTATCAAAGTAATTTTGACAATGGCACAGCGTGCCAACAGGAAAGGCTCAGAATGTAAAAAAAAACGACTACTGTGACTGAAAGACGATGTTATCAAGCCCAGTATGATATTGTGTTCTACGTAGGAGCTACGCTATCTCTTGGCGACCTTCTCAAGTTACATTGCGCAGAAAAGTTAGTACGGGATATTACTTTTTTAAAAAAGTGAGCAACGCTGTGCTGTACACATCACAGAAAGGCATGGATAAACCGGATAGAGAAGAGTCGTGGTGACTTGAGCGTGACCTATCCGTCGTGTATATACATTTTCTCGGAAAAACCAAGTTGATTGTTAAGCGCCCGTGAATTCAAGTACAAGAGACATGCCCTTAGGAGAAGCAGGCCGACGCCAAAGCTATTATCATAGTGCCTGGAGGAATGGAGTGTTGTTGATCACGCTTGCCAATGACTATCCTCTTCTGTCTGCAAGATCCTCATCTGATTAGACCCGTATTTTCTTTCTGGTGACGTGTACATGTATGTATGGACGACGTTTCGACCAAAAACATGTCCTAAACTCGTGCGTATCAAGACCCCTCTATCAACAGATAGACATACTGAGACGACATTATTGTGGACTGTCACATTGTAAACATTACTGCTCCCTTTCCACGGTTTGATTTTGAAGAAACGTCTATAATTTTACGTCAGTTGAGCTGATATCTCTTGTCTAATCGTATATAGTTCCTAATTTTTTTTACACCCCCTCTAATTTTGGAAGTTAGATCGCCCGTCGTGGTTTTCCCGCCAATCAATTGTATCGCCTGTCAAGAAGGGTGGATAAAATCGCCATTATTGTAGGTCTGTCAATACTGTAGGGCCATAGATCATACTGCAGAGATAAGATGCTCGGATGGACCTGGGGAAAACTAGGCGTCTACATAGCTGGAAGGGACCGGATAGCTTTGTGTGGAACATCAAAAAGGGCAGAGCGATTGATGTGGTCGTTTGTATGCCTTGGTTCACACAGAAGCGACGGGCGATGGTTTCGTCTGAATATCCGCGCATCTTTACTTTTCTAGATCTCTCAGTCCTCCCTTTAAAAACAAGCTGACCTCTTGTTTTTAGCGACAGGATTTTCCTATTTGTCCCACTTTCAGATAATGCACTACTGTGAAAATGTATCGTATCGATTTTTCTATATATGAGATGATTTTCTGCCATTTAGTTTTCTCTTGCGTCAGTACTGTAATATCTCTTTCTTGAATTTGTATTCAGTTATTCATTCAAACACGATCTGAAAATCAACTTCTTTTGATTGTAGGTGGACAAACAAAACACTGTACCACCATCATAATATCTTAGATGATTGAATTTTAACGTTGAAGACACAGTGCATATCGTCATTAATAACATATCTTTAAAGCCATACGTTGTATTACGAACGTAAATATTAATAACTACACACAATTACGCTCGGCTTATATCGAATGTGTATCAATATCACTACCACATTATACACTAGAATATATAAAATTATTTCATAGTTTTAGAATAACTTGTGAATTTTTTGTTTCCGACATCGAAAATAGGAAAAGTAAATGCCTAAATTCACTGTGTGCCTACAGAAACACACACAATTCTCTCTCTCTCTCTACAACAACTGCCTAAATCTGAATACTTAATTCGCTGCAGTAACTGAAAAATTATGTTTTCTCCAACCCTGCTATCTTGGTAGCGGATGTCTTCAAATGGCGGCACGCCAAATCGCACGTCTTTCCCTGGGGGCTACATTAAGAAAAGATCTTTCCGAAGAAGAAAAGGAGTTTAGACGTTTGCAGTAAACCTCCCCTGCGGCGTGCCGCGGAGTCTGGACATTTAGCCCAGGGTGTTAGCTGTGGCTCTATCCCTCAGCTTTGCGGTAAGGTGTCGGGGCAAGCTGGGTGCGCCATGGTAGATACATACATCTTAGACGTCCTGCTTTTTTAACTTCACCGGGAAGAGATTTAATCGCAGAGAAAGTGCGTCTGCTTGTGGGCTTTTGACAGACATAAGTCTACTCTATCATCTTTCTTACTCGAGTCGCCCGGTGAGTATGGAGGCTGGAAGAAATGTCGCTGTAAAACCAATGATGCGTTCGTGTACAGTGATACGAACTGGCGACACGAAAAGCAAAAGTGATCTTGGTTTAAAATGCTTCTTCAAGTTGTTGTAACTTGGGAGGGGGGAGTACTATAGCTTTCATGGGGTCTCATTTAGAAATCCTCCATGTGCCTTATCAAGTTACACACCGGCTCGTTCAAAGATTCGCCGTACAAAGTTGTGACATCGAATGTTCACATTCAGCGAAGCTGTAACATAACCGAACATCGACAAGGATCTTCGTACGGCAACCCTTCCACACATTTGCTGCCGTAAATGACCTGCCGTACAGGGCAGTGTGAGTTCAGTCTTTAAAGTAGGCCGATGTATTCTTATAATGATTACTGAGTACTTTCGTCAAAGGACTTGTTTGAACCAGGACATATCGCTATCAAATACCTGTACTTACGACACTGACCCCTCGCTAGAAAAAAACACTTCAAACCTCAAGAGACAGTTCCCCATCGTGTTTTTATTTCGTACGAACGCCCGCCAGTGGGGCTTCCAAACAATTTTATAAAAGTCAAATCTCCGCTCGTTTGACTCGTTCACGTTCACGCCCCGTGCTTTCCCGTGTTATCAACGACTTCCATCTGGTCACCAAGGGGGCGAGAATAAAAAGATATTTGTGAGAATCATCTGGAGTATCGGGGACACTTATCAACTTGGGAGGTAAAAGTGTCACTGCCCAAAGTTCCCGTGTGTGTCTTTCGCCGGTCACAGTCAATAGTCACGTGACGTCACAGTCGCCATATGGTTGGTTGAACCTGGAACTGTGTGGCCAATGAACGTGCGTGTCCATGACGTCAGAATTACGTGACTGTGATTTGAATAGGGAACGAAAAAATGACATGTCAACTAGCAAAACAGGGGGGTAACCACAGAGAAAGAGTTGTCACGACTTTTCAATTATCACGTTTTCCAATGAAAATAAATTTATGTACTAAATGAATGAGATAACAGCTATCTCTGTGGTCACGTACTCGAAATTAACATTAGTTGACAACTTGCTGGTTTAACCATCCAACATGGCGGATATAATAGTTACGTCACTTTCAGAGTAACCATCCAACATGGCGGATATAATAGTTACGTCAGGCTCAGAGTAACCATCCAACATGGCGGATATAATAGTTACGTCAGAGTAAAGTAAGTTCAAACACCTTATTCTACGATAAGAAGGCGTGCGATGCGGCACTTGAGTACCATCTTCCCGCCAACTGTGAGGACGGTACTGACAGGACAGCAGCTGTACCTGGCGATAACAAGCGAACTGCAAAAATAGCAGAGCTATTCTTGTGACACCTGTCGGATCGGTTCGCAATTAGCAACTTAAAATTAGGTGCGTGACCTGGACGATTTGCAGTGGTGGTTTGGCACTTTTCTTTGTCCTACTTTGTTCCTGTGGGTACTACACATGCTATCAACCACCGTTAATGACCAAATTATGTAATTATGACGTGTGTTTGCTTTGTTGATTGGCCAACCTCCCTGTCATTCCGATCAGTTGAGTTGAGAAGCCCGCCCCCAGGCGAACTAGTTTTCGAGCAAGGACAACCGTAATTTGGCAGACATCGCCTCGAGAGGTAAGTACAGGTGTTCTAATAGGCAGTTTTACAAGTCAACCGCAACACAACGCAACGGGTTTTACTTTTAGGTCTGAATTATTTCTGGTCTTATTTTTAAAAGTTGACAATTGGATGTTGCAATAGTTGGCAATAAACTTAGCACAATATGTATCGTTTCTTGTTTATAACAAGGTTTATGATGTCAAAATTTGAAAATGTAGGAATCTTTTTTTGGGGGGGCGCCTTGTTTTTTTCACCCTGTCGCATTATATTTGGAGTCTGCGGAGGATGTCATCCATAAAATTTACTTGCTGTGGCCTAACTGTGTACGGCATGTAATAGTCATTAGGCCACGACAAATGGATTTCTTGCTTCTTGGATTTTTTGCAGGAAATTAATGGAGCGGGCATGCGAAATGAAAAGGACCTGAAATGACTAGGATAGATCTAGGCCCACGGGGCCCACAAAGTCAATATATATACATGCAGCAAGGTCAACATTCGTGTTATGAACGCTGGATATTTATGTTTACCGAAGGAAAACATTGTTTTTGCTCAGTTTCTTCCTCTTCTTCTTCTCCAAACAGTGACCTCTGACATGACCACTGATCTGATTTGTTGACGTCTGTCACCATCGTGACTGGTGTTGGGTTACATAATGTTGCAATTTCATGGTCTGCACTACTCCTGTCACCATATACTAGTAGTACATGTATGTGAATGTGTTTAGTAAGAATTAACAGAGCAGGCCAATTCCGAAGGTAAACATTGTGCATTTGCTTTGCAAATGTTACTTCTCCAGTTTTGTTTCAAATTTATCAGAACAAAAAATAAGTGGGAGAATTCGAGAACCAAGAATTTATAGTCGTGTAGCATGTGGAAGACTGCGATGTTCCATAAACTTGTTTTTGTACAGACGTCATTGAACCGTACTGCCTCCCCCATCACACAAAGGTGTATTTCCCCATCTCCATCTGTTCCCCAACTTCTCATGAAAAATGTGGCTTGTTCCGATGGCGTCGGAAATATGCGACTAAAAGTTTTATATTATAGCCGGGAGTTATGGCGACGTTAGCGCAGCGCC